TCCATTCCACGACCATCGATCAAGACTGGGCACTGGCAAGCAAGATTCAGCTGGCCTGGGCTATGGTTATATCGGCGCATACAGGCACGAACGATGTTGTTTTTGGTCTGACCGTGTCGGGGAGGACGGCCCCAGTGCTGGATATTGACCGGATTATGGGGCCGACCATTGCAACAGTCCCCTTCCGAGTCCAACTCCGGCCCGACCAAGCCATTCAAGATGCAGTGACTGAGGTCCACGATCACGCCATCTCCCTCGTGCCTTTCGAGCACACCGGGCTGTTGTCGATTTGCGACTGCAGCCCCGAGGCTGCGGCCGCCTGCGCCTTTCAAAATCTGCTGACAGTCCGACTGCGCCCAGCCGAGCGATCGCAATCGATCATGGCGGATACGCCGGAGAACGAGGAGGAGGATCGCAATTTCAATACGTACCCTCTCTCAATGATTGTTCAGGCGCGGAAGGACTCCTTGCAGCTCAAGGCGCTGTTCGATGGCTCCATGGTGCATGACAGCCAGGTGCAGATCATCCTGGAGCGGTTCGCCTCAATTCTAGAACGGATCCTGCACCAGCCACAATCACGTATCCGTGACTTGTGGTTGCCGTGTCCCTCTGATAAGCATCGATTGACCGCGTGGAATCAGCGGGAGCTCGGAGAACGACCAGGCTTTCTGCACCAGCTGATAGATGGTTATGGTGCGACGCAGCCCCAGTCGGAGGCTGTCTGTGCGTGGGACGGCTCCTTGAAGTACGCCGAGCTGATTAGGGCAGCGCGCTCCTTAGCTGCGCACCTTCAGTCCCAGGGAGCAGCACCGGAGACCGTGGTTGGCATCTGCACCGAGCGCTCGAAATGGCTCCCTGTGGCCATGCTGGGGGTCCTCATGTCCGGCGCAGCTCTGGTCTGCTTGGAGCCCAGCTTCCCCGTCCCGCGCCTGCAAAGTATCTGCCGAGACGTGGAGGCGCAGTTGGTGATCTCCACTGCCATGTTTCGGGACAAGTGCCGCCAGATCGTCAATAACGTGGTCGTCCTGTCCGACGATGGAGTTGCTGGGTTCGATGACACCAATGCGTACCGCCCTCCTTCATTGAGCCTCCAGAATGCAGCGTACGTTGCGTTCACGTCCGGCTCCACCGGCGCGCCCAAGGGAGTCACCATGGAGCATGAGATGCTTTCTCTGACGGTGCGGGGCCACGCAGGGCTCTGCGGCTTGTCGCTCGGATCCCGAGGTCTCTCGTTCTCGTCGCTTGCTTTCGATATGTGCGTTCTCGAGGTCACCTTCGTCCTCGGCGCCGGTGGCTGTCTCTGTATACCATCCGAGGCCCAGCGGACGGACGATCTCGCCGGGACGATGGAGGAGATGAAAGTGGACTGGACCATGCTCACGCCCGCAGTCGCGCGCACCCTCACCCCAGCGGCCGTGCCCACCCTGAAAACGATCGTCCTGGGAGGCGAGCCCTTGTCGGAATCCGACATCGCCACCTGGAGTCCCCACGTCGACTTCCATGAAGCTTATGGTCCCGCCGAGTGCGCCATGCTCACGACCACGGCGGTACATCTCCAGCCGGGGTCTCCACCATCCAACGTTGGACTCCCGCCCAATGCCTCCTGTTGGATCGTTGATCCCGACAATCACCACCGCTTGCAACCTGTCGGGTGCGTGGGGGAGTTGGTCATCGGGGGCCCGATTGTCGGACGAGGATACATCAACCGCCCGGCCGAGACCGCGGCGGCCTTCATCCACAGTCCGGCGTGGGCAAGAGACTTCCCATTCGTCGCGGGCCATCGCTACTACAAGACAGGGGATCTAGCCTACCACAACCCCGACGGCAGTATCTCCATCATGGGCCGCAAGGATTCTCAAGTGAAGCTGAACGGCCAGCGCATCGAGCTCCACGAGATCGAGCATCATGCCGAGGCGTATCAGAGCGGCGCGACCTACATAGCCCTGCTGGTCCACCTGGAGCATCTCCGTGGATCTCGCATTGTGCTCTTCACCTGTGCAGCTCGGGACGTGGGCTTCGATGGAGGCGTGAACGCGGCCGCACAGACAACAACAACAACACTCTCAACCTCGTCGTCTCCATTCGTCCCGGACGTGGACCGGTACCACGAAACCATCCAGCGGCTGAAGGAGCATCTCAGCCAGACGCTCCCGCCCTTCATGGTACCCTCCATCGTAATCCCGCTACGATATCTGCCCCTGAGCCCTAGCGGAAAGGCCAATCGGAAGGAACTGCGGGCGTTGGTGGAGGCAATGCCACGAGCTCAGCTTGCCAGGTATCTGGGCAGCAGCAGCAGCAGCAGCGAGACGACGCAGACAAAACGACCGCCCGCGTCCAGTCAAGAGAAATTCGTCCATCGGGCGTTCGCCAGCGTGCTCGCGGTGGCCGAAGATGCCATTGGCGTCGACGACAGCTTTTTCACCTTGGGTGGAGATTCAATCAGCGCCATGCGGCTGCTGGGCCTGTGTCGAAAGGGGGGAATGCGCATGACGATGTACGAATTCCTGGCGAACAATACCGTTGCTCTTTTCTGCGAGAAAGCCCGCATGGTCACCCCCGCGAATGAAGCCCCACTCGTCCCTGTCGCAGTACCAAATGGAAAGAAAGTCGCCCCTGAGCACCCAGCGAGTCCAGCAGTCCTGCAACTCAGCCATGCTGAGTGGGAAGCCGTTTACGATCTGGCGGGGCAGCAGTCCGTCGGGTCCCTCCAGGATGTCTGCGCCTGTTCCGACGCCCATTGCGGTATGCTGGAGGTTTATACTTCCCAGTATCGGGGAAACCTAATTTTTGCCCTCGAAGCCGCAGATAATGCCGTTATTAGCCCAGACCAGGTCGTGTCCGCCTGGAGAGAAGTGGTTCAGCGGCATACCGCGCTGCGCACGGTGATAATTCGCCGTCCCGGCAGCAAGAAGCAGTACCTCCATGTTCTGCTCAAGAGCGCTTCGCCGACGGTGGTGGTCCTGCCTCCTGGTGAGGATACTCTCGAAGTGCTCAAGGCGCTGCCAACGACCCCGTGGGAGAAGGGCTCGCCACCCCACCGGCTGATCGTCGGTCAAGACCGGTCTGGACAGGTCCTCTTCCGGCTGGAGACTGGCAGCGCGCTCATCGACGCCATGTCGGTGCCCATCCTCCTGAGCGATCTCGCTCTGGCCCTGCGCGGCAAGCTCCCGCCGGACGCCGCCACCCCGTATAGCGACTACTTGGCGTACCTGCAGAGCCGGTCCAAGGAGGAGACGCTTGAGTACTGGAAGGGCGCCCTGGCCGATGCTCGCCCATGCAGGCTGCCACGACGACCCAGTGCGGACAAATTCCCAGAGTTGGACTGCACACCCGAGCACCGCTCCCTACCCCGACTGATGAATCCGGAAGATCTCGCTCGTCTCGACACATTCTGGCGCTCGAACGGCCTGACGATTGCCAACATCTTCCAGCTCGCCTGGGCACTGCTTCTGCAGCATTACACCCACATCTCGGACGTCTGCTTCGGCAGCATTGTGTCGGGCCGCGACATCCCCCTGCCGCACATCTGGCAGATGGTGGGCCCATTTTTCAACATCCTTCCCTGCCGGATGGTGCTGGGTGGCGACGACAACGCACCACGCACGGTCCTGGAGGTGCTGCGTGCGAACCAGATGAGCATTCAGCAGCGCAACGACCACCACCACTGCTCGGTCCCCGAGGTTGTTCGACAAGCTGGGCTGAATATCCACGGGGACCAGCAGCTCTTCAACACCGTGCTGACGGTACAACCGGAGTTTGAAACTTCCGCGTCTACTACCACGGGGATTGGCTTCAACATGCTGGAAATGGATGATGCTACTGAGGTTAGTAATGTCCTCCATAATGTAAGCCTCGAAGTGCTGCGAACGCTAACCACCATCTCTAGTACGATATGTGCTTGGCTGCGGTCCTATCGCCGGGCCGCATTCAGCTGGAACTGCGATACTGGTCATCCACCTGCTCAGACACGTACGCCTCGGAGATTCTGCATCACTTCTGCTGGGCTGTCGGGTGGATTGTGGATCATCCGGGGGATCCTATCGCTGCTGTTGCATTTTGAAGGAGGACATATATGCATAGTTGTAGCCACGTAAGGTATATAAGAAAGAGAATAAATTGCTTCCCAGGCTAAAGGTAAGACTTGAGGCTGATCTTAGTGGTTCGTGAGATGCATAGGAAGAAAAGAAAATGGCAAAAACATACGCAAAAACATACAACAGAAGGGACTCGCTGGTAGTCATCTACCCAATTACTAACCTCCCGGCGTATAATTTAAACGCGGCCAGAAGACAGATTTAATAATGCTCGGGTGAGCTATTAGATAAAGCTCTCTTACAGTCGCGCGATGGTCAGATAAGCTTTAAAGTTAAAACTTGAATATCTACTTAGTTCTTCAATAATATAATACAATCGGTCTTAGATAAAATTGTTAACCACAACGCTATTTTAATATTATTTATATTAGATATAGAAAATATATGATCTTAAGTTTCATCTAGTACAATGCAGAGGGACTAACTAAGCAGCCGGATAGAAGGACTGCTGTATATATTAAATGTATAAAATAAGTATAATCAAACCAAATCATAAAGCAAAAATTATATAATATATATCTCTCGAACAGTTAGCTTACTCGAGTCTGTTATTCATCTAGTTAAGAGAATATCCGAGGTATTTTCTAAAATAAGTTAAGTTCAACGACAAAGTTGAAAATACCGGAGCTCAGCTGATTGTAGCAGTTGTCACTATACAATTGAGATAAGTACTACATTAATTATGTAGTGACAACTGCTACAACAACACGATTCTTCGCGATGGTTTGATATCAAATTCATCCGGCGATTCCAGTCCTTTTCCTCTCTCGATAGCCTCTTATATGCTTGTTAACACTACTTTCCGGAACTACTGAGACTATCCGTAATTTTTCATCATTTCCTAGCCACTTATTCCGAGACACAAAGAAGGCGTCTTTGTCATGTAAGAAAGCGACTCGGGATATTTACAGCGGAGCGAGTTCATTGAACACTTGTTATTGGAACTCTTGAGCCCGCACTCCAATGATTGAAAAGGGCTTCGCGATGGAGTGTCGGCTTATCCACTTGGTTCTCGACCAATTGGGGCGTCTGTACAGCGGTGATGTTGTCTTCGAAAAATCCACTCGCCCATATCTCCTTGTGAAATAATGTCAACCGATCTTTTCACTTCTATCACTCCCACTTGCCGTTTATTGTGGTATCCACCACCCTCTGTGACTTGAACACTAGCTGCGTACATGTGACCAGAGGCCACAAAAGTTGAATCATCGTCGATCGGGGAGGTCAGATTGATGTTCCTTGGTACAGTCGGTTCTTTCAATACTTTGAACTTTTGAGGAATGTTTTGTATAATCAGCCGCGTAACTATCCATCGAAAGACAGGATAGCATGCAGGCATGCACGCGCACACAATAGAGAGTGTTGCATCGGAACTCGAATAAACAAGATCTTGGTTTGCGTTGACTAATATCGTAGAAGCGATTAATGAGCGCAGGCGAGATGGACATCATGCTGAACGCGTCCTTACCAAGTGTAAAGTTTCCACTCAGAAATCTCTTGAATGTTACCACTGAATGGATCATTCCAGCGCACGCTAGACTATGGATTGCAGAATTGTAAGCAAGTGGAAAAGAAACCAATCTCACCGGCAGGTAGGAGAAGGCATGATTGCGACCTACAGCAGGTTCAAACCGAATAAACTCAGTAGTCCAATCTTTTGGCCTTTCGCCAGGCACAAACCAGGCAGAACCATCAAAGGGACAATCAGAATGGCCAGGTAGCTGACGATCTGAATAGATCCATTGATGGTCCATAAGATCTTCCATGGTAGGCAATGCTTTTTTGCAGTCGGGCCATGAGCCCAGAAATAGCTCACTGGGTTGCAAAAGAAAATGGAGCTGAAGAATATCCAAACACCACACATTATGAGTATAGTGGCAATGAAATGGCCAAAACGCTTTACTGAACGCCTGGTAAATATCCGCTGGTAAAAAGCCAGAAGTGAGAGTTTGCATATGATTAGAGTTGACTGACAAAATGGAATCGACAGCCAGAGTGCCTAGAATGAATTAGTTATTATACGAAGTACGAGTGAAATCTTGAAACATACAAAAAAGTCATTCGGCGCCTGAGATGTGTTCTTTCTGGACTGGAGCTCGGCTTTGCAGCTGTTAGCACTATTTCACATTTTATATTGATCCATGTCATGCGCAACACACCAAGAATGCCACATGAGTAGACTATACAACTCATTCCCTGAATGGATGGTAAGAACGGACTTTGCATGATTTCTGCGGATACTGTAGGACATACAAAAGCCAGGCAGATAAGAGCATCATCTAAACCCAAGCTACACAGGTGTAGGCGTGTGGAAAGGCGGATAATGACGGAGAACAGGCTTAGTAAGATGAGGAAAATGAGAAAACAAAGAGCGTTCATGGTTAGTTTCAAAATCAACCTTGCCAATTCTGAAGTCATTGTCGCGTCTGCGTAGGATCATATATACTGCTTAACATAGATTACGTCAAATGTGGGGCAATGATCACAACATTTTCTCTTTGTATCGAATATCCCCATGGTACGACGGCAATGATGATTCATTGATTAGACAACAATTCTGCAAGCCAGCCCTCTACCCAGATGAGTACTTTGGGATTTGAAATAACTTAGTTCTTGTGTCTCAACCGGGTACACAACATTAATTGCCAGTGAAAAACACTCCCTAAAGCTTAATAATTTGGACTAAAAACTTGAGTCGATTTTTGGTTACCGAGCAGAGACTGATTGGACTCAAAGTTTTCTAGAATGAAGCGTTATAGCTCCAAAGCATTTTGGACTCCCATGGTCACCTTCAGAACTAACGGAGGAACTGCCTTGATTACTGAAACTCATGCCCCCTAATCCGCAGTTGGCTACTCTCAACTTGGAGTACTTTTGTAGGTGGTTTATCAGTCCAACAATCATCTACTTTGATGAATGATCATCTCTAATTATTCTTTTTGAATAGTTTGTAAAGTCTACTCTCCCGACTCATTAGCTTTCAGATACACACTTTGGTGCCGTTTTCCAGTGCGATTAGGAAGGGGCTTGTAAACAGAGGCAAATGAGGGGTTCACAGTCACGGTAGGCTCCATGAACACCCGACACTAGCCTATATTTGAAGTCATACCCGGACTTGCCGTTGACCCTGAGAAGCCCTTTCTCCCGTTTTCTCCCTAGTCACCGGTATTGACACCCATGAATACAGCCGTGTCGGATCCCGCCAAGCTTTGCGGGGGAATCCCCGCATGCTCCAACGCCTCCTGTGGATCTAGTTGTTCGGCTTCCTTCGGAGATATTCCGAAAAACGCAGCGTCGAAGTTTTCCATCCCGTCAACAAAGTATCCAAGCGTAGTCACGTTGTCCAATATCCGTGCATTGGCACCATCGCGACAACGGTACGCTTCCCATCGTGCGGGCGTCGTCTCGCTGCATGCGTCGGACTTGCTCGCTTGGAAGTCCCACAGTTCTTCCAATGAGTTATTGTCGCCTGGCAACCCACACGCAAGGCCAATCACAGCCACGTCGTGGGGTTGCTCCTATAGAGGGATAGAGGGATGTCAGTGTACCATATATTTGGCTTCGTGGAGTGGCGATCGTAGTAGGAAAGCGCGAATACACAAATTGAAGTCAGTGTCAATAGACAGTGTTGGGGAATTGGCAAGGGACAAGATGTGGGATTGGAGATATCAGCAAGAATATGCTCATCACTATCAGATATCTCTGAAGTCCGCCGAGGCAAAGGGCTGCGAAAGGACAAACTGACCGTGGAAGCTGTGGCAGGACTCTGTTCATTGTAACTCGGTTCGTCGACGACGTCCTTGTGCATTCTCTTTGCACCTCGGGGACTTGAAATTTCGGATGCACAAATACCGTCTGGATGCTACAAAGAGAGTACTAGTTATGCCTGAGCAGGCAAATTCCAGAAAGAGGAGGCGGACTGCGGTGAGCGCAAGATTGAGTTCCAGTCTTACAGATTTCTCGAAATACTGTGCTGCGTGGGGTCTTTTTTGAAAGGTCCATTAGGCCTCCCGGGTACATGCCGTATACTATGACATGCTGCATCGCATTCTACACAGCTGATCATAGTAGAACCATTTGCTATAGTGACAGCGGTAATCATATGCACCTCGGTTGGCAACATATAGGCGGAAAAGCTTGAACGCTGTTGACGCAAATGCTTGCGAAGTATGGTTTCAGCCATGTAGGATGTGCTCAAGATGTCACAACTGAAACTGTCGTCAGATCGCAATAACACTTACAGGTATTCTGTTTGCGAGCATAAATATAAGCTCTCGTGCCGGCATCAAGAATCAAGATATGAAGTAGGCATGGTAACTTGACTCTCGGCCGGTAATCCGGCAGCGGCGAGATTCCGGTTACGCTAATCTTGAATAGATTGAATAGGAAGGAACACGGTTTTAGCTAGTAGTAGGTACTACTAGGTATTGTAAGCCTTGCTTGCTGGTACACAACCGGTGAAAGCATTTGGCTTTTACAAAGGCTGAAAATTTAAATGTGTGTCGTTTTCATGGCAATCAGTCGCTCAAGGTGAGATGAAATGGGCTCTTGAGACAGGTTCCTGGAAACCTAGTCAGTACGTGAGTGGTCCTAGGCCTAGCGGACGCACACAAAGATGATACCTGGCAAGGATCCAACAATCTGGAGGTTTCATTGTGACCTTGACTCGTAGAGTATACTTGCTTGCTTCTTATCTCTGGATTGTACTCGTTTTTGACTGACAGACAATTGATTGAACCATACTAGGCTTGTGACGTCAACAAATTCGACATGTTGACAATGCGCCGGTTTTGGCCAAGATTCCTTATCAAAGATCTTGTACATGTGATTGTACACCGGTCTAGCACCCCTTTGTGTCTGAGATAGATTGGAGGAAGGAGGAGAGCGAGCGCAATGTATATAGCCCAGCAGGCAGCAGATACTTGCGAGGAGAAACTCTTCAACCACATACAACCCACAGTCACTGTATACTTTGGCTGAGACCTTCTATCGACAGCCATGAATTTTTCAGTGCTCTCCCTATATGCGTATTCTTCTCCGCTGGGATGGATTATGTTATTAATGGTCGCAGCGCTTATCCTAGGGCTGTACCTGGCGTATGCTACAATCGTGGCCTATCAAAGATTGTCGCAGTTCCCCGGCCCGGTTTGGGCGCGATTCACCAATCTACCGCGAGTAAGATGGCTGCAAACCGGCCGTTCGCACGACATTCATATGGATCTTCATGAAAAATACGGCACATTTGTTCGCCTGGGTCCGAACATGATATCCATCTCGGATCCCAACGCCCTCCCCACGGTGTATCCAAGCAGGCCTGGTGTCAAGAAGGTATGTCAGTTTCTCATCAAGCTGAGTTTGATGGTTGCTTAGCTTTTGAACACTGGTAAGGGAAATTTCTACCGAGCCCTGACGCCATTCGTTGGCAAGGGGGATCCTTTGCCTCTCGTCTTTAACACCCGAGACGAAGCCTTTCACCGCGTTTTCCGAAGGCCGATCGCCCCGTTGTATACGATGGCCAATGTTTTGACCTACGAGTCCACCGTTGATCGAGTCCTTGATCTTCTCGTCGCACAGTTGGATGCGCGATTTGCCGAGCCGAGGCGAATATTTGACCTGGGCTCGTGGCTGCAATTGTTCGCTTTCGAGAGTATGGCTTCCATGACCTTCTCCAAGCGATATGGCTTTCTAGAGAAAGGAATAGATGAAACGGGGCTTCTATTCACCATCGGAAAATTCTTGAAAATGGCATCTCCTGCAAGTTAATGCCGCTCCCCTTCATGTGGCAGCTCAGACGAGTGATTAACATACTAATGCTGGCACCAGATCACACAAATACCCTGGGCGGACTTTCTCTGGAACAAGAATCCCATTGTGGCTCGCCTCATGCCTACCACTGCGCAGCCCATTATGGACGTGGTAATGACCAGAATCCACCAACGTCAGCAGGAGGTCGAAAAGGGCGGAATGGAGGGCCAGCCCAAGACCTCCAAAGACTTCCTCTCACAGTTCAAAGAAGCCCGCGATCGGTATGCGGACACAGTCGGCCCAGGGTAAGAGACCCAGTGTTCGGTAGCCACAAGATCTCTCGATCTAAAATCCTCCTCGCAGGGCCGTGACCGCCTGGATATTCTCGAATGTCTTGGCGGGTTCCGATACGACTGCGGTGGCAATGAGAACCCTCTGGTACAACCTCCTCACCCACCCGAGCTCGATGGCAAGTCTGCAGGCTGAGCTTGAATTCCAAGAAGGCGCTGGTAGAATGTCGCGGCCACATCCACCGTGGAGCGTGATTACCGACTTACCTTACCTGGACGCCTGTTTGAAGGAAGCCCTGCGCTTGCACCCCCCGTTCTGTCTGCCGTTCGAGCGGATCGTCCCTGCAACAGGCATGACTGTCTCCGGCCGCTATCTCCCTCCCGGAACGACTGTTGGTATGAACCCATGGGTGATCAATCGGAATAGACAGGTGTTTGGTGAGGATGCCGACATGTGGCGGCCAAAGAGGTGGCTGTCTGATGCTCACAGTCACACCATAATGGAAAAGACTATGTTCAGTGTATGCACTACCTCAGACGACAGTGTCGATATGCTGATCCAAATGGGATATAGTCCGGAGCAGGACGACGTATGTGCCTGGGTAAGATTATAGCCATCTTCGAGATCAAAAAGTTGACTGCCACACTCCTTCTGAAGTACCATGTAAGCTGGGGTGCTACCGTTCACAGAGATTGATCTGACCTTGATCCAGGTTCGAATCCAGCACCCGGAGCATTTCAAGACGGAGAATTATTTTTTCTTCCACCAGACTGGTCTGATGGCAACAATTGAGAGGCGGATTTAGTTCAGGTTCGCTGGCAATAGGACAAAGTGGGCTGAAAGATGCAACGGCGCCTTCATCGGGATGACGAGGGAGCTCAAGTCCGACTCGTGAGCGTCTTCAGAGTAAGTCAGTGAGAGTCGAGCGGCTTTACCATCGTGCGACAAGAGTGACCAAGCGCGAGTTAGGGTTGGTGGTATTTTTAAGTCTCGTAATACCTGTTGAAACAGAGGTATTACGAGGCAATCCCGCTGCTGTCACACGTTGTATGATACCTGCTGCCAACCATACTCAGCCTGTCTCTTACTCCTGTTATTTGGCGGTCTTTTGAGTACTGATACTTCATACATTCCACCTTAAAAGCTGTCTACTGAGCTAGTATCTTGGAATAATTCTTAAAGACACGATCTGGTTTGCAACACCCAGCTAAGTAGGGAGCCAATTCCAGTCACCAGGGCTGAAGGTCAACCATAGTTGTACAGTCCCAGGGATTATGTCTCAGCTATCTCGCTAAGAGCTCTACAATCGAGCGAAGTTCGAATATCATATCAACGATAATCCCCATATCGTCGATAAATGGCGTGGCTCACAAGGTAGGGCTGGTTCTAGACCAGCCCCATGTTCAGGGAGCCAATCGCGTATAAGGCGGGGGAAACAAGAATGCTTACGTAGCTGGTCCCCTGCATGCATTAGAAACTGTGGCGGATTTTGCGGGGGATTTGAAACAAAGGAAGTATAATTCCGCGGCAATTTGCTAGTAAGGGATGACCATTCAATCTCAGACTCGGTATGTATTTTTCTTTGTTCTTTGTTCAAGGATCGGCTGGGAAGGAAGGACTTATACTTTCTTCTACTGATACCTAGCAGATATGTGTAAGGAGAAGGACGCTTATCTACACAGAGTATAATAGTTCATGTTGTGGTATTTCCATGCTACTGCACGTAAAGCCTAAATGATATGTGCCACAGGCCCGTGCCGGGTACTACCCTCACGTAACTAGCCGCCCTCCAGCCTGCTAACGCAGGGGCACGACCCTAGAAACTTCCCTTAAGCCTTTTGTACGTACACACAGTTAGCCCCCTAGTTAGAACCATTAGAAGTCTTCCTTTGGCCCCTTTGCAATATGCACTAAAGTCTTTCATAGAATGATCTTACTACCTAAGTTTAATTGATACATTTCTGGTATCGAAATCTTTGTTATGATTCGCTTGAAGAGTACGTACCCAAGAAATAAGAGAAGGATATGACATTCGATAATTCTGTCGGGCTACAATGAATGAGTCAAGCCTTTCGACCTCTGTTAGGAGCGCATCCTTGTCCTTGGAGCTTTCCACCGAGTCTCTCCGCCCCTGGATTCTAGTCAACGCCACCTTTAAACTCTAATGGCCCCACGATTGGCGACATATTGAGCCTAACCTGTCTGAGGTATACTATGAGGTATGGAGTCTTCAAAGAAAGTCTAACCTATGCCCAAACGGAGGTAAGGCAGTTCCTGGCGCTCCTTGGAATGACGGCACTAGATGTTATGATCATAATATGCTGTAATATTCTTAACTTCTAAGGGTTAGTGCGAGTGGAATGAGAAGGTTCACCTTCCTAGTTGATTCCCTTCTGGACACATAGTATGCGTGCCAACAGTCCGGTCTTACCGAGAAGTATATAACGCCAAGGTATCGTTGGTCCGCATTAGAACTGTTGCGAAATACAGTTTATATTCATCTCGTCGTTATTCACCAATATGAGTTACCGCCGTCTCCTCCCGGGCGAATTTTCAGATGAAAAGTCAGGTCACTTGAACAACCAGGCAACCTTCACTGCCCATGTGCTTCTGCATCCTATTACCAAGATCATTATTCTCATTATGATTTTGATTCTGAGCTTGTTGAATCTGCCTATTTCAATCATAGAACTTGAATCGAGGTCGTGTGTATCGAAGCATAGCACCGAAGACACCGTTCCCACGCTATTCACACAAGACAAACAGTTCCAGTCGCTCGATCGTTCATTTGATCATCTATGGTCAGAGCTATCAATGAACAAGACCACAGCTGGTCTAATCTATACCGGAGAGAAAGGGAACAGGAAGGAGCAAGGAGGTATCAGCATGTGAGTCAATGTTGGAGTTAGCGATATTGACCTACTTACAACGTCTAACAGGTTTCATCAATTACACTGCCTGACAATGATGCGCCAAGCCCTCCAATCTGCGAGTGAGGGTGAAGAGATCGGTAAAGATTGGCATGACGATGGTCACTGGCCGCACTGCATGGATTACTTGGCCAAGGTAGCTATAACTCACTGACCTCAGTCTTGCTGGCTTGCTTCTAAGGCTGACTATATGCGCTCATAGACGATTCTATGTTTTGCTGATGGGTCGATTGAGAAACCGATCCAGGGGGAAGAAGGCATTCTATTCATAGATGGATCCAATGTTGTTAGGCAGTGTAGACCCGCACAGCCACTGTATGATCTGTATAGAGAAAAAGCTGTATAAACTGTCCCGCATGCAATTTTGCGCTGATTAGCTCAGTCCAGTCAAGTTGATTGTTGACCTTTTCCCCCAAAAGTAGAGCACAGATTACAAACACAAAAGAATGCTAATCCAGAGAAGTCACATTCCCCTCCAGTCCCGCTAACTTCATCTCCCTCACACCGACCGAAGAAGCCATTTCCCCGCCCGCCACGCCGCCACGCTTCCATCAAGTCCCTGCCTTCTCCGACTGGACTTTCTTGCAATCTGGCCATCGAAGAATGCCTTTCGGATTCAGACTAGTGGGGCCCGTTCATGCAGAAGCCGCTGACTATCCATCCCGTTGAAATGTGGAGTCGCAAACGCGAAGATCCGCTCTAGGTCCACCTCGGTATTCATCGTGTGAGAGGCCGGCGTGATCCTTCGATATGAGACTCATAGCATCCAGTAAGCAAGCAGGCTACTTAGCCTAATACCGGTTGACTACTCTGATACTGTACGAGATTGAAGGGCTATGATACCCACAAACATGAGAAGCTAATACAAAAGTGTCCAAGACAACGAAGTGTTTTTATTATATCAGACAGTACTGTACCTGTTGCCCAATTTCACTGCACGTCCTGGATCATCAATCCTCCGCGTACCAACTCAAGAACAACACTAATTATATACCTCAACGCCCACACTGCTCCCCATAGCGCGGTGACCATGCGTCCATCCAGCCCCCCCACCGCTAACAACCACACCCACAAGCCGGACACCCTCCCCTCCCACACGCATACGTCGCCGTCCCGCAGTCCTGCCACTTGCTGCACTTGATCCACGCGCCCAGCCCGGCCTTGGCCGCTGTCCAGCACCACTCGCCCTTGTTCGTGTTCCCGCAGGCCTTCCAGCAATACCCACCAGAGCACCCGTACGGCGCGTCTTTGTAGCACGACCGCTTCTCCAGGGCTTCGAGGCCGTCGAGGCCGTCCGAGCGCGCCTCCACGGGACTGGAGCCTGTGCCCGTGACGGTGTCCACCGTGCTGTTCTGCCAGAACGCGACATCCACCGCGTCGAGCGGCGCCAGCGATGCGCCCTTGACGTGCCGGTTCCGGCCGAGCGGGTGGTCCAGGCATTTCCGGACGTCGCTGGGGGCAACGCCCGCGGGGAGGTCGGCGGGGTCCACGGTCATCACGTCCAGGTCGCCGCATTCGACGATGGGGTCGCCTTGTTCCGCGTCGCGCGGGGTGAGGGTCAGCGCGGTGGTGAGGGCGAGCATGCTGATGATGGTGAGGGGGGGCTTCATTGTGGATGCGGTGGCTGGAGATTATGGGAAGGACAGTATGCTTATGGAGTTGAGAGGAGAAGAGGGAGAAGCAGAAGAGAGGATAAGGGGTGATACCTGTTTTAAGTGAGAGATGTGCGTTCTTGGGCCAGTGGGGAGAGTGGATATGGATATCAGACTGTTTTGCTTCAGACTGTTTTGTTGTATGAGGGATAGACCTAGCTGGATAAATACTGTGGATGAATGGGAATGGGTCAGGCCTTTTATATTTCATCTGGAAAAGAAATGAGCGTTTACTTCTCAGGAACGATACTACCCTCGACAGCCTGGGGGGCTCTCGCCTCCGGTGGGCTGATCACCGTACCTGGTCCCCGTCTTGACGAGCAGGATTATGACAAGGAAGAGGACCGCTGACAAGGTCGGTGACCGCAGGCGCAAGGCATCCTCGGCCCCCGTTGACCCCTGGTTATATTTCACCAGCACCAATCCCCGGGCCTGCTAGTCGTGGATTTCATGTATTCCGGGGCTGGCGCAATGCAGCTAGAGAACGTCCGCATAGGTCTCGTAGTCGGTGGATATCCTGGTGCAGCTGCCTGTGGGTTCTGAAATTTCCCCTTGTCCTGAGCTATGAAACCAGGTCTAATCAGTAATATACTGGTCTTCTAAAGCCTTGGCCGTCGACATACGCTGTATAATGAGCACGGCCACTGGCCTCTCCCAAAGCCTTTGCGCCCACGCAAGTTATCGTTCAGTCAAAGGATCTTTGGTTAGTCTTTCGGAGACTTTCTCTGCCTATGTTACTGGATTCTGGTTGACTCCGGCAATTTGGCTAGTGCGATGGGGAGTGGCAGGACTCTAAATCAGGATCCCAGCTCGGAGGGGGTGAGGAATGCCGAGACCCAGTACTCCCTCACCTCCTCAGAGCTTTTTCTGAATCACGTAAGCTTGAAGATAAACCCCTAAGCCTCTTTTTCTATTCGAAATATCAGGGTTCTTAGGGGCTGAGGGCTTCTATATGAGGATTGCATATAGGGAAATACACTTGAATATCCTCTCACATCAAGGTAGTTGAGGTTTTGTTGGTTTCAAAATACCTATCATAAACATAAATCAAGTCTCATGTCTGAAATGTTCTAACCCTCTTGAAGATCACATGTTTTTGATCTTGTGATCCCCTCGCACTAATCTCTGACGCCCCTCAGCGCTGATAATCTAAACGAATCTTTTGGAGTCTGCTGTTAGGATGGTTATTTTTACCTCATATGGCCAATTAGCGTTGAACTTCACGGTCTGGATGGGAGACTTACTAGGTACCGCTTCAAGGGTTCAAATCCCTGCAGTACCCCACCGTTCTAGCAAAACCACTGGAGCAATCGTACTCTAGAATCGGACAAACGTCGGTGTCCGTTAGAAGAGTTTTCGCCAAGTGCCATCATGATCGCCGCCAACCAATCAACACCCCTGTCATTTCTTGGTTGTCTCAGACCCTTGACGACGCAGCGAGTCAGCCACCTCGAGCTGAGACACAGGAGCAATAGCGTCTTATTCTTGCGCTTGTTCACAACAGGCAAAAGCTGGGCTGAGCCGTGCATCGCTAGAGTAATCGAGGCCCGTGGCAACGTTTGGAAGAGAAAGCGGGCCACGAGCCTCGACACCTCGCTCTGCTTGGCCTCTGCGGAGTATCTGAGACTACCTATATTATGTATCTCCGTGGTGGCACCATGATTTGTCGTCTTAGACTTGTTTGATGTCAACAGAGCATCACTCCACAAGGTCCCATGGTCGCCAACCGATTAGCATCGAGTACTATCGGGGGAGAAAAAGGGTTGTTTCACCACTCAAAGTTCGGGCCGGACCGCGTCTTCGCAATCCTGACGTTATGAAGATGGCACCCTATTCTAACTAGATGCGAAGACCTCCCTTGGGCCTATTTTCGTGGACAAGAGCGGCGACAGCATGAGACCTCACAGAGGGCGCTCCATGACTCAAATCCTCGGGTTGGATCGATCCTTGCCTGGTAAGTGAGTCCCTTTGTGCATCCATGATCAATGTTGCCCTGTGATCACATGGCAGGCAGCAAGCAAACGAGGATTAGCGACCAATCGGGCTGCCTGGGGCGACTTTCGACCACGTCGCCTGTTTACCTAGTACCCGACGCCGGGGGCCTTAGGGCTTACATTGTGTATAAAGAAGCCGGCTCCCCACCAGCCAGGCCAAGCGCTGAGATCCAACACCGAACGTCACCACGCCCCTCCTCAACACGTGAGACATTCATCCTTGCCCGCTAGTAGCAGCCAAGATCCAAGCCGCTGCTTCCCGACGTATTAATCTCTTCGTTGCCCAGAGCATTAGCGCCTGCCACCTTTGCCTTCCTACTCGTCAAATTCCGCTCAAGTATTTCAACGTGAGTTTCAAAGGTACGAAACCCCCTTCCCCACCATCTGTCTTGCTAGACCAGCCCTCTTTCTCCTCATTTGTGTTTGAATCTCCAGTGCTAACCACACCACTCTATAGCCTTCCCGCCAGACCCACCACCTCCGACCTCAACATGAAACCCATCACCTACCTCACATTCCTCCTCGGCCTCTCCGCAACCACCGCCCTCGCCGCTCTCCGCCCCGACGCAACCCCCGAAGAGGTCGCCGCGGCGGAAGCCGAGTGCGGGTCCCTGGGCGTGATGAGGATCGACCCAGCCGAGCTGCCCGAGGGCGTGACGATGGCCGACGTCCGCATGTGCGCCGACCATCCCCTCGGCGCCCGAGCGATCCCGGGTCTGGGTCCTGGGACTTTGGCCAGGTTCCGTCGGTTCTTGCCAAGTTGGATGTTCTGAGCGGACGACCGGCTTCGGGAAGGGGATCCGAGGCCCTGTAGCGAGTAGGTAGGTAGTCCGGCGCGCGGTGTTTCTTTGGCGTATGTAGGGGCATATTTGTTTACGTCAAACATGGCTTACCGCGCCCCGGCAACGGGTGGGAGGGAGCAGACGATCGGGGATGGACTTCTGGGAGATGGATGGATGTTGTTTGATGTTGATTTTTGGGACAAAGGTTGAATGGTATAGTGTGGCTGGGGAATATTATCCGGATATCACGACGTATAAGATTCAGGGATAATTATCATGAGCAGTTTTGAGTAAGTAGGATATCAACTATGTTGATATCGGCGTGGTAATCACCTGCCCGCGCAGCGTATATGGACTAGTTGGTCGGTCGTTCCAGGGAACAGACATTGAAACGTTATTTCATCAACAAGTGAGAATGTTGGTATTTCCCTTTCATGGTGCGTCTACAGCTTCTCCTCTCCTCCTCTTCGTTATTGCAGCCGGGCCTTGGATCCAAGCCATGCAGGATCACAATAGCAGGGTGACCTACGCCGCTCCCCAAGATGTGATCGATAGAGATCCCCTAGCGTAGAACCAGCGAACATCCGCGCAAAGACGCAATATGTTCGACAGTTCCCCCTGGAGACGCGCCGAGTGTCTAGCCCGGATAACATCCCTACATAAGAAGGCTTTATCAGCTAACGACATATGGTGTATGCCATCGAATGCAGCGCAGAAAGGCAACAAGCTACTATAGCGGGGTCTTAATTCCCTAACCCCTTTACCATTTTTTGTTGAGTTATCCTGATTCTCGGCTCTTTCTCTCTGCTTGGATTCGTGCTGAATCCAATATGGTGGGTTATAATACAGGTGACCGAAAGCTTGTAGTAGATGTATGATTAAAAATCAAAGCTCAATTGTATTTATCGTAAACGTAGAGATATAGCCTCATTGTTTATGACTACTCATCTATAAACAGATACATTAATAGCAGTCACAAGAAGTGGTCCAAAAGGTAAACTGACCAGCTCAGCTGTTCCTGTCTTTCAGTATGGCGTCATACAATTAGCCCCGAGCTAGGCCCGGGTCCAAGCCGGGCTGCTTCTAATTTTTCTGATTTGCGAAGTGCCCGCCTTCAAATAGGAGGTCGCGTCCTACTTGCTTAGCTATCACGTTGCTGATGCCTGAGGCCTGCCACATAGTTTTCCCTTCGCGGATACCGCGAAGGTTGGAAGGGCTGGTTTGGGCCCTTCCACTATAGAATAAGTACTAATTAAAAACCTTGAATATGTACATTTAATAGAAAAGAAAATATGTTATGACAGTATAAAAACCCTAAATCTCGATATGAACCCTAAAGTCATACTGACACAAAGGAAATCTTCTCAGGATCACGACATGTTGGAGTTGTCAGAACAAGTCCATGGCTTTAATCCTCCATTCTGAAGAGAATCAATGATGCTAATGACTGAGCCATATGTGCCTGCAACTGTGATAAATACGCCGGCGACGATTATAAACACAGCCCAACAAGCCATGCATGACCACTTCCAATTCCGGTTGGCCCGCTGAGACCAGTTATCGTAATACCACATGGCACCAGCGGGTATATATGCGAGAAATGCACCGAGTAGTGCTCCGATGAGTGAAACGAGGCTGTCGAAAAAGGGAATGCCGCTTGCGATCAGATAGCTGATAAGTGTGACGGTGAGCGTGCACCCAATCCAACTTATCCAATGGGTGGGCGAGTTCGAACTTAGATGCCGGGACCCTCGCAGAAGGCGGACGAAGATATATTTACTCGGTAACTAGATCTAGTTAGTACTTATCATCCTTGAAAGACCTTTATGGTTGATGGGTTGGTTACATGAATGAAGATAGTGGTTGTGGCAAGCAGTCCCGGCAGCGCGATCCCGTAAGAAACCTTTTGGATAAGACGACCAGCGGATCCCAAAGCAGGTGAGGCAACATATGAGCCACAGAAATAATAGATGACGATGCCGACAACGATATAGATTAATGTTGAACCAACCTGAGCGATCACGAGAGATCGGATGAAATAGCGAGGCTCGCGCATTTCGGCCACGATGGAGAAGTATGCTGGGGTGGCAGAGCATGCGAAAATTAGCGAGGAGACGACCGAGACGCCTTGTGCAAAGGATGGGTATGCGAAAAGTTTGTAATCCGAGGACCATGCGCCAGTTTGTGGCGCTGAAGATGGCCTGTCCTGAATGCCGACGGCGATGGTGACAATCAAAACTTGAAAAGCACCCAGTTAGTGACAGATCCAAGCCCGCTCCATCTGAAAGAATCTTACTGGCTACCATGATGCAAAACAACCCGACCCAGGCTATCCATGTGATTCGACTTAACGTGCGGACGCTGGCAAAGAGCATCCCAACTATGGCGGAGACAGCGACAAACACCGCGGTGCACGTTCCGTGAGCCGACACAGAATTGAATCCAATGGACATACCGAGGATTCCTGATCCGGCAACAAATATCATATCTATAGATCTGTTAGTCTCGAGCTTGGATAAAGATCGGGTCGAAAAGCCATACAAAGACTAAATGCGGCGCCGAATACCTCACGACCCACTCGTCCGAACATCACCCAGCCGGCATCGTCAATGGCATATACTTCGCGATGTTTCAATTTGAAAATGCCCACCATGTAACTCGTCCATGTCGCAATCCCTGCAATTATACCGATCAAAAGGACCCCAGGGATCAGGCCAACGGTGTCAAAAATTGAAGGTATGGCGAGAACACCCAAGCCAATTTGGGTTTTCAACATCAGCACCATGGCTCCCAGCCATCCCACCTATGCTCTGTCAGCTTCGTAAAGAAGAGTGCTATCTCTACAAGTATTCACACTGCGATAATTGGGCCCATTCTCAGCAACTTCGCCAAAGACATCGTCATAAGGGCGTTCCTTCGCGGGGAGGATCTCTTCAATCTCCTTCGTAGTTGTGATGTCTTCGGGCGCCTCTATATCATCCCGGTTCTTGCTCTCGTGTTCGGCCATGCTGAGTAATGTCTGCCAAAACCCGGAGATGGATTATGTATTCAATATCAAATATGCAAAACTGGGAGGCTATCTCGATGAGTTCTGATTGAGTCTTTATAGTGCGACACCGGGCTACGTAGGGGCAGGGTATCACTTAGATAAGGTTCCGAGTCTGTACAGGGCGTGGAAACCCCGGATTTCCCCACTTCCAGTATCTTGTGGCGGTTGTCCGAACAGTTAAGAACGTCTTATCTCGGTACGGTGAGTAAAGTTTACCCGAAACTGGCAAGAGATGCCGGGGACGCTTTTGTCAACGTCATTAGCGGCTCCCTTGAATCTTTAGGATCCTCCATTTCCCTCCATTTACAATAAGTTAGTTTCCCAACATGGGATCCCTTAAGTTTCTGGAACATGTTAATAGATCCAGAGAGGTACAGTATTCCACAATAATTACTATTTGTAACATAATGGAAGGAGGTCAACAGATCTCTCAAGCCTCGTCGACATTTGACTTCGTTTTTCCTACTGGTAAGGATGGCAATGGATTGGTCTAGTTATCTATCTTGCTCGGTAAGAACTACCAAGATAGATTTATGGCATTTTAACTCAAGAGACTCGGTACCAGAGCTGGCAGTGGCAATTGGGCTACCTTGCTGTAGCGTGGTCCTAACATGGTAGTCTTTTAGTCCGGGGAAGTCTCGCCTGCACAGGGAGGTATTCGTTACGCCCCATTTATTACACTAATAACATCTTTTCAGTCCACCCTGAATCTTACCGGAAGAGATGTCAAGACTCATGTTTGTGGAGGTTCACTGGTCTGCCACCGCTATTGCTGTGTATATCCTCCGTCCACGAAAAGAGGTGTCCCCGTGACAAAAGAACTGCGACCACCGGCAAGATAAAGAACCCCGTCCGCAATCTCTTTTCCCTTAGCCATTCGTTGTATCGGTACACTGGTTGCAACCTTTTCTCGCATAACTTTTAAAACATCGGGCTGCATCGTTAAAGGTGTTTCCGTGTATCCCGGGCAGATGGCATTGATTCGGATACCATCCTTGGCATAATCCTCGGACGCAGTCCGCGTGAGCCCCAAGATTCCGTGTTTAGACGTCGTGTATGCAGTCGACATGGGCAGACCCACGACGCCCTGGATGGAGCTGAAATTAACAATAGAGCCGCGCGAGAGCGGCCTCCCATCAATCGTTGAGGTGATCGGCTCTTGGTTCAACATGACTTTGCAAGCTGCTCTCAGCATGTAGAAGGATCCGTGGAGATTCACGTCAATTATTCGTTTCCAGTCATTTGTATCAACGAAGGCTGCGCCTCCGGCATGCTTCATGGCAATTCCTGCCGCATTGACCAGATAGTCGATCCGTCCGAAATCTTTCGCCACTGCCAACACTGTGCTGTTGACTTGATCTTCATCTGTAACATCCACCACGAAGATTCTAAGATTCTTCGGGTCAACCTTGGACGCACGATGAGACTCAATCTCCGCCTTCACACCACACAGCGCCTCATAACTCAGATCCAGTAGAGCTAAGCCCGCCGCGCCTTCGTCTGCAAATGCCACTGCACAAGCCCGACCAATGCCAGACGCGGCCCCAGTAATCATCGCATATCCGGGTACATCCATGCTGACGAATTTCAACGGCTGTAGACTTTCGACTCTGATCGGGTAAAATGACAATGGTGTAGCGAAAGAAAAGGTTGATGGAGATAGACGACTAAGCCGGGCCTGGTAGGTTTATATAGTCATCTCAGATCCGAGGTAGATTGTCTAAAAAAGCGTTGTTCGTGAGGGGTCATTGCCCCGGCATTTAATCCCTGCGGAAAACAGTCGCAGGTTGGCTCTGCGGGAAGACTTTCCCTGTCAGACGGTGAATTGTGGCCACCGAAAAGCAAGTAGAACGATGGAATTTGTTTCACGGATTCTGCGCTGGCAATACCCTCTTCCGTCCTTTAGAGAAGAGGGAGCCATGAAACTATGGTTTAGTCAGCCTCTGCCCAAGTGTCGCTACTACTCATTTTGTCCAAGTCCTCACAACACAATAACTCTCTGGTAGATATCAAACAGTAATACAGTCTCGCAAGCTTATGATTGATTCCTTTTCTCAAGTCTTAGGCCCGATATTCCTTTCTCTCATTTTTGCCTCCTTACATGACGATACTTCCTGTCCAAGGATCATAAGTAGACAAAATGAATATTGGCCAGAATCCTTCAGTCTATGGATCTAGAAATTCTCGATGCTGGAAAGGCAGGATCATGAAATAGCGAGAACAGATGTTTCAAAGGAGAGCGCAGACCAAAAGCCAACTCCATTTCACGCAAAGCTGAACCCTTCCCAATTTGCAAGCCTGATTTCTCTGCATCGCTTGCGGTATTCCACCGCACTCCCAGTATATCTTGCCACACTTCTTTCCTGCTTTCCTTCGACATTGGTGTTCACGCCCGTGAGCCAGCTATCGATTTCATTAGCGAGGGCACCCTCGCTGCAAGCAACGACATGCTTTGTCCAACCGTCGATGGCTTCCTTGGTCGGTTCAACATAAGTGTAGCCTTTGTCAGCACAGAACTGCAGCAGCTCCATAATGACATCGACGGCGTGCTCAATGCTTCGCGGGATGTTTCCAAATGGCTGATGAGGTCCAAGCACCATAAACATATTAGGCATTGCCTCCGTGGTAAGTCCGAGGAATGTGCGAGCCTTGTGGTTTTGCCAGATGGCGTGGTCTTGGTCAGAAATCAGTGGCCTGTCATCCTTGCCATGCCACTCTACATCACTGAAGGCTCCAGTAATGGCGTTGAAGCCCGTTGCACAGACAATGATGTCGAGCTCGTACTCCTTGCCGTCAGAAGTCAACAGACCCTTTTCCGTTGCTTGTTTGAAGGGTGTTTGACGCAAATTGACAAGGTGAACTTTCGGGTCGTTATAGGTTTCGAAGTAGCCACTCTCCAGCGGCACTCTTCGGAGCCCGAAGCCGTGATCTTTCGGAATCAGTTGCTCTGCGATTGTGGGGTCATTGATCCGAGCTCTGATTTTCTCGGCCATGAAGTCTGAGTATAGTTTGTTGGCCTCGCGGTCTGTGTAGGTATCACTGAAAACGCCCAGCCACTTGCCGAAGCCCGGCTCTGAATATTTCTTTTCCCAGAGGGCGAGACGTTCCTTCTGGCTGACTTCCGAAGATTTGCGAGGATCGGCTTTATGCAGGAAGCATGACGGACTATCCGCACATTGTTGGAAAACCTGTGCGTAATTCTTCTTGATATCGTTCATTTCGGCGCTGCTAATCTGAGAATTGCGAAGAGGGCAAGACCAATTCGCAGTTCTCTGGAAGACATGAAGAGACTCTAGGGGCCACTTGGACATCTCGGTGATAGTCTGTATGCCGGTGGCACCAGTCCCTATCACACCAACCTTTTTGCCGGTGAAAGCGTCGGAAGTCAAATCTTTGGGCCACCGAGAAGTGTGAAAGATCTCGCCCTTGAAATCGTTGATCCCAGGGACCTTTGGCAATGTTGGTGAGGACAAAACACCAAGGCAGCTGATAAAGAAGCGCGACTCGTACTCCGCGCCTCGATCATCAACAAATCTCCAGGTACGATCTTGATCCTGCCAGTGGGCCGACTTAATCTTTGTGTGGAATTGGATGGCGTCGCGAAGATTGTGCTTCTCAACTACCCGATTGATGTATCTCAGAGTTTCGGGTTGAGGGGCGAAAGTCTCTTTCCAATCCCATTCATTCAGGAGCTCTTTGTCCCAAGAGAATTGATAGGAGATTGTTTCCGAGTCAAAACGTGCACCAGGATAGCGATTGAAGTACCAGGTACCTCCGACATCGTCCCCGGCTTCAAGGACCTTGACAGTCCACGAAGGGAAGCGCTCGCGGATGTGATGCAGGCTACAGATTCCCGATAGACCTGCACCGACAATAAGAACATCGTAAGGGCGTTGAATGGAACCCATGATAGCAAAGACCGTTGAAAAGTTCAAAGTTGGTGTCTGAAGTTGCGTTGTCCCCGGAAAACCTTTTGAGTCCCAGTTGCGACTCTTATACTTGGGCTGGCGCACCAGTTCGCTGGGAGTAGACCCGCGATAGGAAATGGAATTGGAATTCACAGAAGCTGTCTCCTGTGCCTTCCTGGGATTTCAAAACAGGCCACACAGGCTTGGAAACCTTGGCTCAATTCGAAAGAAAGTGACACTTCTACCAGCATTTCCCCAACAACCCATCAATTCAATCCACCTAAGAGGTTCCACATGCCTGTTATCCAACGTATATCTCGCCTGGGTGGGTTTCTCAGTCTTCTCGTTCTGTAGTCCAGAATTTGGGGGAGGCGGGGTAATTTACGGCGGATACCCCACTCCGGTCATCGGTAGCACTTGCCCAAAGTCCCGTATTAGCGGAGCCACGCAGCTTGCTATCGCCCAAACCCTCTTCTCCCCCCGCCCCCACGCTCCACCTCTTTCCCTCTCCCCCTTCCCCACGTCACTTGCCTCAGTCCCGTTGAATTTAATCCCCCGGGACTGAACCGGAATGGGTTCCGAGGAGGTCCGAGCTTCTTGATAACCGCAACTGATCGAGAGGGTGACTGTGATCTCTCGTTCACTTTCCGTCCGAGCCAACACCGTCCACTCGAAATCTACTCCCCTGTTACAGTTTTTGATTGAGGAGCAACCACTTGCCCTGCGTGTTCACGATGAGTGCATCGAAGAAATCATCCAATCCTGCGGTCCCCTCAAGGACTGCGGGGCGAGGTCGGTCCATGGACGGCTGCAACACCTGCCGCCGTCGACATGTCAAATGCGACGAACGTCAGCCATCCTGTCTACTATGCGAAAGCCAGGGGATCACCTGTGAAGGCTACAAAGTAAGCCTTGTATTTGATGCCGTGGGAAATGAGAGGTCACAATATCGACGCCCCTTATTTACCCTGAGAATGCGTCAACATATGACTGAAATGCTCACGGCTAGCGTCGCGCCTGACAATGTGGACAATTACTTGTCCCGGGTAGACGAGCAATGTGAGTCAATCCAGCAAAATGCTCACGCTAGTTTCTCCACCGAGCTTGGACCATTTGGAGCATTCCGCACGGCCCAGGTATCCAATGAGGAGGGAAGGCAGCAGCGGTCTCCAGATACACATGTCAGTTGTGGAAGTCCAGTGGCACTCGTAGCTGTTGCCGAGCCAGAAGATGATATGGACACCCTTCTTGCCGACGATGCACTCATGGAATGTTTGTTCTGGGCTGCTGAAATGCCGGAGTCCCACAATAGTGTGTTCTCGATGGCGGATTCATCCCCTTCCACTGCCTTGGGCATAGACTCCAATTTCCCGATTCCTCATTTGCCATATGCCTCCAACCCCGCCCAATCAACCTTGATACCACTGGCGCCTAATTTGGCGCCTGCCTATGCGCCTGCGCTTATATCACATTACAGAGATGTAGTTGTGCCTTCTTTTTCCCCTGCAGTGCCCAAGAAAACGCCGTGGCAGATTCTACATGTTCCAGTCGCAATGGAAACACTTGCGCTATTGAACATGGGAGAACTTGCATCAAATGCAAGGATGGCCGTCTTCTACAGCATACTAGCTACCAGCGCCCTTTCGATGCTGGGGACATCCGAGCAAAGGTGTGGCTCGGAGTGGCATGCCCAAGCGGAAGTGTTCTTTGCCGAGGCTCAGGACCATTTCAGAATGGCCCTTCGACAAATCCTAGATGGACAACAAAAGGTTCGATATAAGGATATGCTGATTGCTTTCCTTTGTATGTCAACGCTCTGGGTGAGTGGGTCGACTCGGTATCATCTTCCCAAGATCCGGGCATCAAGAAGGTTGGAAAACGACAAGACATGGGCTAACTCATCAATTGGGGTATAGACATACAAAGGTAACGAGAAACAGGTGGAACGTTGCCTCTTAGATTGTGAACATTGGATCACTATACGAGGGATCCCCAAACCCCATAAATCTCGAAAAGTCCGTCTTTTGCATCATTGTTATCTTTCCTCGCGCACCTTTTACGAAAGCACGTCGGTCTGCCGTAAGCCTGTGTTTCTCGCAAAAGACCCCTCTGCTCGATTTTTTCGCCGTCAAAAATGGGTAGATCGATTTGAACAGCGGATGCAAGAGCAGAAAGGCGGAAAATCGGTCGAAAATGACATGCATTTTGAAATTCCTGGAAATTGGGACTCTTCAATGTATCCAGAAATCTACGGTATTCCCGAGCCTCTCTTGTTCTCTTTGGCTCATGTCACCCGTCTGGCGAACGAGAGGCAGATCTCGTTTGCGGCTCATCATGAGACTGCCCTTAATCTGAGAGAGTTCATGGAAAGAGCTCGCAGCATAGAGAAATACATCTCTAGTTGGCAGCCTCCCGCTTTTCTGTCCACAACCGAGTCTATCATTCCTCATGAAAGGGTTCTGCAAAGTCCGCACAAGGTGATAATCAACCGCCTGATTATTGCGATGCACAAGGCATTGCTCATCTACTTCTACCGCCGAGTCTACGATGTCGATGCGACAATGATGCAGGGGAATGTTGAGCATATCCGAGAAATACTTGCCGAATGCGGTCGTTTTGATATTTGCGCCGTGTACCATGCTGACAGTTTCGTGTGGATTGCATTCGTTGCCGCGTGCGAGGCATTGGATCCCTCGACGCAAGATTGGTTCTCTTCATGGTTTGACACGTGTATCGCCAGAGGCAATTTTCAATTCTTCCAAGTCATCAAAGCCACTGCTCACGAAGTTTGGAAAAGAAGAAAGCAGGGCCATTCAGCTACATGGCTGGAGGTTCTTTCGGAGGCGGGAACCAATCTTTGTTATATCTAGCTTTTTAAGGGTAAACAACATCTGACAATGTATATTGCTGAGAAGAGAAAGGTAGATCCTCGTCTTCACCTGCGCAGTTTATCTTCCTGGGAACACCAGTCTTCGCGGTCAATCCCATCAACGAAGCCATGAAGTTTTCATCCTATTCGCATTTTTCTATGGGTGCTTTTTCTCTAATTGAAGGGACCTTCAGCGTCGGAAACCATGAGAGTGGAGCCCTGCCCAGAGACAATCTGCCACATCCTGTGGGATCGTGGGGTAAGGCTCTGGGGCAAACCAGACTTGGACATCCGGAGACAAACGAAGAGGACAGTGAATGAGACATTACAGCACTGCTATCTATCATTAATTCTCATCTTGTTCTATTAACAATGATAAGCAGCCGACTAGTCTGCTCGGTTTGATTGAAGTGAATTGGCCCCGGCTAATGAACTTTGGTGCCGCACAATGTCTCCGAAGATTCTCAGGGCTTCCGGGCGACATTTATCTGGAAAAGGTATATAAAGCAAGGTTAGTTTTAACGCAATACCATACTTACTATAAGACTGATTCCTGAAAACCCGACCTAGTCAATTGCTTCTAAACAAGCCTAAATCAACTGAACTCGATTCAAATTGTGCCGGCCGGGAATATTATGTAGTGTCACCTCAATTAGTGCTAGTTACATGATTTCAAAACGTCGACTTGGGATAGTCTAGGCCGGGGAGGGAGCTTAGGAATGCTGACCTTGCGATAATCAACTAGTTAATCACCCATGAAACACTCTGGACTTCCTCGGCGGGAACAACCTGGCAGGTGTCGAAACATTTGCATGTTGGTCAATGGAAGCGCCTGTTATTGTCTCTCCAACGCTTAGGGCGGACAGAAACGGGACGATAGCGAACCCGACTTCGCTTTTGTTGTTGTAATGTTGAGAGTGAGAGTACGGGTCTGGAATATATATGTCTTATCGCTCCGTTGAGCACCATCGTCGGCGACACCGCAGATGCAGAACGGAAGATAAGATACTACGTATAAAAACGAGGAATTACGTTGACGGTCCAATCTTTCCACCAATTTTGATGTGTAATAATGGAATCTCTATTATTACTGCGAAAAAAAGGTTATCATGGCCCTCCATTTCCGGTGTCTTGGACGAGCCTCGCTAACATCCCAATTTGTTTTGTTGGCCTCTGCTCTCTTCGTCGTATTTTCATTAGAACGCCGCACCCTAGCAGACAATTTTAGCATACCCACCCTCCATCCACATTGTAAACAGCACCGGTAACAAAGGAAGCCTGTTCACTTAGTAGGAAGGCGATAACATTGGCCACTTCGATTGGCTCTGCCCTCCGCTTTTGTGCCGTGTGTTGTAAGCCGCGCTTCACGTGTTCTGGATCTTCGCCGGCAGACATTGGTGTGTTCACAGACCCTGCAGAAGAAAAGAAAAAAAGGTTAATGGAAAGTCGACCATCTTGCAGACATTGGACAAAAGGAAATTGATAGAATTGACATACCAGGAGAAACGCAATTCACTCGAATGTGCTGGTTTTCTTTGGCGGCTGTACGGGTCAGACCAATCACTGCGGCTTTACTTGCGCAGTAGGGCGAGTTTCCAGGCGCTCCGAACTGCCCAAATACGCTTGCCGCAGAGACCTTTATCTTTTGTTAGCTTTGGCTTTAAGAAACTAAGAAACAGAACCAAAATACGCACAATACTTCCACCCGCAGTCATTGCCCTCAGCTGTGCTCTGAGACAGTAGAAAACGCCACGAGCATTGACAGAGAAGTTGAAATCCCAGGCCTCATTTGTCAGTTCGGTGATTGGCTTAGCCGGAGAGATGACGCCAGCCATGTTCACTGCGCCGTCCAGCTTTCCAAACTTTTGTACGGTTGTTTCGATCCATTGGTCCACTGAATCACTCGAGCACACATCAACAACGAAAACAAGATGTCTTTCAGGGTGATCCAGGGTCTCAACAGCTTTTCGAAGTGCTCCTTCATTGATGTCCGCCAGCGACACTAAACCGCCCTGAGAAGCAACGAGCTTCGCTGTGGCTAGGCCCATGCCAGATGCCGCACCAGTGATAGCGATCTGTTCGAGAGATTCAGCTTTGATCATTCTCGCCAGACTCCGGACTTTTTGCCTACCACTTTTCCTTCGAAAGTTGACATTTTGTAGATGTGTTCGTTTTCAGATACGCGATGATGATTGATTTGAATTCCGAATGAAAGATGCAGGGGAGCGAGGAGCCAATTTAAAGCGAAGGCTATCTTTAGACTAAAATATTATCCGGCCCGACAGATGATCTCTTGAGACAATTTTGCGAGATAATGGAAAGTGATACCGACACGTGACCAATTGTCCCCGCATCCCCGCGTTCCGTATTTTGGTTTTATATAATTTACCTTGGTAGGTAGATTGGTGACCCGTGGCGATAACTTTGGGCTTCCGCTGTTCCTATGACCACAACCAATACCAATGTGAGTCACGTGGGTTAAATCTCTGGAGACTAAATAAGAATACAGCTTATCTGACACCAAGCAACTGTCTCCATTATATCGTGAGCGACTCGACGTGTATGCCCTCCCGGGCGCAGAATGTATACTCAATCTCCAACCGAGCCGCAGACGCCCTACCCCGGGGGATATACGTATACGACAATGCCTCAATCCTCTGCCATAACAGAATCTGTTCCATGCACCGTGGTGCCATTTGCTCTTGCCCAGCGACTCCACCACCACCACTCTCTTCAATCTCGATGACCCGCTCCACAACCCGAGCAGTCAAGATGCTATCCCACGCCGCCTCCCGCATCGGTTGCCGTCGCAAAAGCTCGAGGGCTTGACGACGGACAACCGGATGCCGGCACTTGACGCCGACGATGAAAAGAACGGGGATGAGGCCGATCTCCGGCGTGAATGTCGCGCGTGCTGATGACCCCGCATACCGGTGATGGGCCGCCGCGACCTCGCCCGCCAGTGCGATGCATTGCCGGAACTGGGGCAGAAACTTGTCATAGTCCATTTCTTGGCCGGGTCCGTATCCCTCGAGGAGGACCCGTGCGATAGTATGTTGCAGACGGAGGAGTGTTACGAGCGGGTTGGTTTGTGAGGCTGGGGCAGAGGAGCTGCTGCTGCTGCCTGGATGCAGGAGGAGGGCTTCGAAGCGACGCGACCACGTTTCCAACTGCCCGCGGACGGTGTAACTGAGGGAAGAAGGCAATGGCGGCATCGTACCTGTTGGGGATATCTGGTGATCGGTGTTGCGAAGCCGCATTACCTGTGTAACAAGCATCTGGAGGTGGTCGGCGGCTTGGTCGAGGGACTGGAAGGGACTGTTGTCAGAAAGAGCTAGATGGGACATTGTGAATGTCTCTTGGAGATCAGCGGGAGTCCAGTCGACCAGGAACATGACGGCCTGCATGTCCAGGCGGCGAATTTGCTGTGTAACCTGGTCGATAATCACGTCATTCCCCCAGGATGGGGGGTCGTCATCAATATAGCAGCTGAATGTAGCGTTATGGATGATGCTACGGGAGAGCGCAACGCCTCCGCGCAAGTGCTTGACTGCTTGGACGTTGTCGCCCACCAGATGATCAAGACAGGTGAAGAGGTAACAGACCATCAGCGTGACCGCTATGGTTTGAGTGCCGTCACGCTTCTCCGTGTTCAGCAGAAGTTGAATGGCGCGGTTATAGTGAAGCAAAGGGGCGTGATCCGGTAGTCGGTTTTTCAACAAAGGTGGTTGATACTGGAATCCATTGTTTGAGTGACAATCCAGGTAATAGTTTCGGTGAATCAAGGCCAGGGCAATGGCAGCATGCCGCACTGCAGGCACTGTTTGAGCGAAGAACATGAGAGTTTGCCGCCATGATTCGCAAGGACGGTATTCATTCAGATGCTTGATCGAGACATCCCTGAAGAAGGACATCATCTCTGCCTCGGTTGACGCAGTAACTGGTAGGATCATAAAGGGTTGGAAATTCTGCGAATTGAGACCACGGTACTTCGAGTGCCATCGCGCGGACTCGTACGCACTGATTGTCGTACGTGGGTGGTAATTGTTACAGATATCTGCTCTGCCAACGATCTCCTTATGATGAGGAGTTGTTTCAGTCTCAGCCTTCTCGAGCTTGGATGTGAAGGTCATTTCACTATAGCCATCGCAAGTGCGGCCGGTCGAATAGCATTTCAAGCATGCGGGTCGAGCTAGATCGCATTTTATCCGTCTTATCCTGAGAAATGTCAATTTCGTAGTCTTTGACTGCCCTTCCTAATGCAAGATGCAAAAGTCAAGACATACTTGCATGTTTTACATCCCAGTCTGGACTTTGGAGCGAACTTGCGAGGCTTTTTTCTCCAAGCTTGATTACCCGCCTTGGTATTCTCAGCCTTCATCTCAACCATCGTGGCGATGTGCCCTGGATGGGCTCTGCAAATGCGCAGCGTTTCAGGCACAGGACTTTCAGAACCACCACGTGCATGTATTGAGACCGAAAGGTGAGCTTTTGGGGCGTCTACAGAAAGTTTGAGATAACAATCTGTTTGTCGGTTCGCACGCCAGTGAGGAAGCTATCGCCACATCCCTTATGGTGGACGGCTGGGAGAGAAACAGGGGACGATAATACAAAGTGCAAAGAGCCGAAGCTGGGGAAAGTCTGCACTTGATGAATTTGTTCGTACAAGCGGGGGTATTTCAACAGGAGTTTTCAGTGAGGGCGAATGATTGCATCAGTAGCTTAGACTCTACCTAATCTTGGAACCCATGATATGACTCCGGGACTCACTGCACGGACCTCAGATAAATCTTACCTTACTTTTTAAAGACTAGTGGCACAGATTATGAGGAAGTTGATTGGTCAGCTCGTACAAGTGGGCCATCAAGGAGGCTGAGCTGGGCCCATTTGACTATTCTGAATAATGCGCAAGTATCCGACAGCGTAAACATACAGACAAGAGCATGAATCTCAATTAAATCGTGATCACGCATGCTGGGGTTGAAGAAAACCATTGATTGGTTCATTCGTACAAGTGGAACAGAGTGCGAAGGAGGTGTTTTGAATTGATAGGAAGAATACAGCTGCCTATTGAGTTCTTCAGATTCAACGTTACGATCTAGAGGATATAGTTAGTATAAATAGTTCCTCAACATCGGTACAATTGCAAGAAAACCAGCATAAAGATCAATAAAAAGGCCCCGGGATCGAAAATGCACCGATTTGCGAGCGCGCTCTTCCTTTTGATGAGCTTGGGACCGAAAGCCCAGAGTTTACATGATCGGGCCATGGTCTATAGCTTTGACAACGTGAGTTCGCAAGTCTACGATACCACAGTTGCCCAAGGGTTTCGAGCTCCTGACGAGTCATCTAGATTGAACCAGCAGCCAACCTCACATGGACACCATGTTTTGATGCCTTTGGTTGTTCCAGGCTGGAAGTTCCTTTGGACTATGCGAACCGAAGTCTTGGTACAACGTCGATTGCCTTCATCAAGCTGGCTGGCAAAAATGCAACCGTCGAGTCTCCAAGTATTGTACTCATACCTGGTACGATCCCATTCGATCAATCATGGCAACATTGTACTTCCTCTACTGGACTGACATTCACCAGGCGGCCCCGGTGGTTCTGGTGTCGACCTCCTCCTCACGTACCAGACTCTCGTGGGACAACTTTTTGGAGAGCAGTACAACTTCGTCTCCTTCGATCCTCGCGGTGTGAACAACAGTGGCTTGCATCTAGACTGCTTCTCAGGGGACGCAGAAGCAAGATCAGCTTTCTATCGACTACACAGAACAGGCGCTACCAATGTTTCGTCGACATCGTTTGAGGAACAGTACTATTCAAGCTCGATCTACGGCGATTGGTGCAACAATGCCGTGGAAAACCAGTCACCTCATTCGTACTATGTGACTACGCCCGCCGTTGCTCGTGATTTGCTCACATTCACCGAAGCCGAGGCTGAGGTGGCCGGTCAATCACCGTCAGCCGCCAAACTGTGGTGCTATAGCATCAGTTACGGCACTGTCATCGGAAGCACTTTCGCTTCCATGTTTCCTGACCGTGTTGGAAGAATGGTGCTCGACGGAGTCATGAACGCAGAGCAATACTACAACAACTTTTGGACGGACAATGTCGATCAAATGGACGAGGCTATGGGAACATTCTCAAGCTTCTGCCACTCCGCAGGCCCTGCGAAGTGCTCATTCTGGGGGCCCACGTCGGCCAACATCACGGCGAGGATGGATGGCATCATCCGTCAGCTTCAGAACCATCCCGTCCCGCTGAGCGGCGTCGGCGATCCAGATTTGCTGCCAAAAATGGTCACTTATTCAGATTTGAAGACTCTCTTTCTCAACACGCTCTACACCCCACTCGCAAGTTTCCCTAGCATGGCTGATATACTACATCAAGCCGAGAAGGGGAACTTTTCCGCCCTTGCAGACATGTATGACCAGTCAAACTCTATAACCGATGCCCGGCTCGCCATTACCTGCACCGATTCGTATCGGAGAAACAAGCTTACTACCATTCAAGAGTTCAGGACTTGGGCGGAATACACGATTTCCAAGAGCAAGTACATCGGCGATATCTATCCAATCTATCTGGAAGGTATCTTATGCCGATCGTTCCGACCGCAGTTGCCTGATAACATGGTAGCTCAAGGTATGCAACGCTCTTTTGCTCTCTCTCTATCTCGACTCTATAGTATTCTATAGACTTCACCTTCGACCGAGTGGGTGGCCATCTGCACTGAAATCCAAGTCTAACCAGGTTGTGATGTAGGTGATATCAGCGCAATAAAGATGCCTACGTCCTTCCCGATCCTCTTTGCGAGTAACACCATCGACCCTATCACGCCGTTGATCTCGTACGTCCCTGTCAAATAGCATCGTCATTGGCTACCTATTCTTCTAATTGACATTATCTCGTCGTAGGGCGCGCAAGATGTCCTCTCGATTTGCCGGATCAGTACTTTTGATGCAAGAAGCCGTTGGTGTAAGTAGTTTTCACTTCCCGATCGATCTCATCGCCCTCTCGACTAGGAGTTTTTGCTTACACGCGGGATGGTTCCGTTGCATTCAGCATACGGTCATTGACCAAGGCGCGTCAGATTGTTACTTCGGAAAGATTCAGGCATACTTCCAAGGCATAGTTCCAGTGTCGAACACTACCTGCCCGCGGCAGTTCACTCCTTTTATCGATGCCTCCCCTTTTTAATGATTGTCAAAGCTGCCCCAAGGGAGATGGAAAGTCCAGTCAATTTCAGGAAGACATCAATCAGTGCGGCCTAAGTGCTGGAATATGAAAGTATGGCTTATGTACGATCAATTCTATTGCAGTGCTTTGCCGTCTCTTGTTGGCCCCTACAGTTCTTCGACTCTTAGGCTTGGGCTAGGATCGTGACGAGTATATGTTTGTCTCCACTTACGAATTCCATTGGGGAGGACTTGGGTGAGTCTGCGATAAGTTAGTCGTTCGTACTGTTTCGAGACAACTGTCAAGCTCAATTACATATCTTGGAAGCCTTCTTTTATCGAGAACTGACCAGACGGCGCTCGGTATCTAAGGATGTATTCCAAGTTGTGAAGGACTAATCCTCTACTAGTACAGTTTTGACTGGACAGGCTATCTCTCAATCTACTCTGTGCAATATCGCAGTGGCTATCTAGTCTCGACGAAAAAGACAGACCCCGCAATGTCATGGAATGGACTGGTGTGACATTATGGCCGAGTCCAAGGGTATTAGATTAAGGTAAGTATTGGCTTAGGACAAGCGACTGAGGAAGAGAGAAAGAAAGTTACTGGCATTCCCTTAACCGACGGATGAAGCGGATATACGGGTATTGATGTCTAAGGGGATTAGTTAGGTAACTACCAAGACAATGACAAGTACGTATCGCAACAAACACCATGTCAGGTAGAGTATCCGTGGCCTGACATTCACTAATTCATCCTCTGGACAAGGCTACAAATGAACTCCACCCAAGGGGTCGGTGGACCCTGGAGGACCCGCTTCCGCAGCCTCATCAAACCAGACTAATTCCTCCGCCCCCAAACTAGACATTCCTGCAGGGCGCAAAAGCTTGATTTCCCCCGAAGATATGACGATGGTGACCTCGCACCCGAGTTTCTTTCCTCTTCCGGTGAAGTCCAGGATCATTGTTGAAATGATGATCGGCGCAAGCACAGTCGAAGGGTTGAATCAGTGCCAGATAAGAAGCATTTGCCTGAGGAAAATGAGCCGAACTCCGCGACTGCCTGCGCTCTATAAAGAGCCTGCTCATTCCCAGCTCACCAGTTTATTCTTCATCAATCCAAACCATCCTCCCAAGAGAACCACATTCAAAACATCTCTCCCTCTGATCTTGTTCTCATCTCGGACACAAACTCAGTCCACGCCACCCCAAGCCCCGCAGAAGCCAAACCCAGCAACCATGATCCCCCCCACCCGCCTCCTCAGCACAGCCGCCCTCCTGGCGACCTGCGCCCGCGCCATCGAGTTCAGCGTCATCATCTCCACCGCGGGCGACGACTGCGACCACAGCTTCGGCTCCTCGGACTACCACTACCTGGAGGTGGACGGGTCGCAGACGATGGAGGTGCTGACGACGGCGCAGTGCCTGGCCGTGGGCGAGGACGAGTACGACGTCGACATCGGCTGGTCCAACCTCAGCGGCCAGGACTACGTGCCCCCCATCTACGCCTGCCCGGACAGCAGCTGCTCCAGCGGCTGCGCCCTGCTGTGGGCCGCCACCGAGTCCAGCAGCACCCAGTGGACCAGCTCGTGCGAGCACGCCTACAACGCCCCGTACCTGTTGGTGGATGGGATGCAGAATCAGTGAACGGCCCCGATTCTCCGATCGGGGTTTGACTGCGTGTGCAGTTTGTGAGTGGACGGAGGTAGGGGCGCGGAGAGGGTGCGGTTAGGGGGATGTTGGCTGAGAATTAGGTATATTTGGTTTGAACGCGGTATGCTGCGTGTGTTGGTGTGGAGGAAACATCAGATACTTAGTGCTTTCAAAGGAAGGAATGAAGTTGTTAGACTGGTAAATTTACAAACTGTGCTCGGAGACTATGGACGATTATCGCGGCTACTCGGCGAGTAGAGCTTCTTCTGTTGACTATTCTCGCTACAGCGGTAACCGCCTGGTGACTAGGATTGTATGTAATAACCAAGTCTGCCTATGATTTTGCAGCAGATTTCTGAGATACTGAGTGGCTGGATGGTCGTCCGTGTCGAATTGTGATTACAAATCAGACACGAATCCGTCCTCGACTGGAAGTTGATGATTCTTGCTGATTTGCTACCTGTCGTCGATGGCTTTCCAGGCCGTTCGAATGTCATATTGCGATTGTGAGATCCACGAACAAATCGTGCCCGGGGAGGTGGCGAGGCTCTTTGCGACACTGGTTCCCTTGTCGGTGTGTTGAGGGCGCCAGTTTCACGAAGAAATTTGGAAACTTATCGCGGGCGGGAAGAAGTGACGAGCCCCGGCCATGTTGCGGTTTCGATGGCTGGGAACAGACGGAAGCCTATTATATTAGTGATCTCTGATCCACCACTCCAAGCTCAAGATACTCCTTCCAAGCCCGTCGCCAATCGTCCGCGCGACTCTTGTCGAAGAAAAAACGCCGTAGGACCCCCTCGATCTGATCGATGGATCGATAAGAGAATCCACCACTCCGTGGGGATAGCGGGACCAACATCACCATCCCAAGCACCTCCATCTTAACATGCCAAGGCAAACGCGATGTCCTTGGCGGTGTTGCAATGACCGTAATAATCCAGATCCCCAGTTCCTGGAGCCAGGGCTCATCGAAGAGAGATGAGAGTGATCGCAGAAGGCGCGCGCGTTGCTCGGCCTGTCGGAAGATGACAGCGCACGGATGGGAGCCCAGCGCGCTGAGATCGTCTGCGAGCGAGACCAAAGCGATGCCAATGCACTGTTCAAGGCTGTCACTGGGGGTGAAGGTCAGACAGCGCCAGGTCTCGCGGGTGGTGACGTCTGTGCCCATCCCGCTGTAGAACCAAGAAGAAAAGTCCGAAAGGAGGTTGACCACCGTCGGAGTCAACCTGCCCGATCGAGCGAGATCTTGGAAGCCGGGCGGTAGGAGGTCCTCCACGCTAGTGGCATCGGTGGCTGGGCCTGGGCTTAGAAGCAGGCGAGGGGGTTTATCGGACAATATTGGCGACGGATCCACTTCCTGCTGAAAGCCGAGGCTCATCTTCAGATGGAACTCTACCATGATCCTATTGACGAGCACCACCTTGCCCAGGGGCGAATGCTTTGGCAGCATACCTGGGCCGGCACTGGACCCTGAGAGTGTGAGCTGCGACGCCCTGGTGGGAGATTCGCGAACGCGCATGATATTCTGCAGTCCTTTCAGGTGCACGGCGCGAGACTCGTGGAAGCCCAGACACTCGTCGACGGAGATCATTGTACAAAGACTGTGCAGCAGCACGTCGTCCACTCGCTGAGCGGACAGTCTCTGACGCACGGCCTTCAGCAAGTGCTGCCGATGCCACAGGATTGCCTGATAAGCCCCCCTACTGCCATCCTTCTGATACATGATGCACAGGCTGAAGGCTGTCTGGCTATGAAAAACCTCCTTGTGTTCGAAGGTCCATGCAAGGAGATCCCTCGCGTAGCTGTCTGCTTCTAGTTTCCCTAGGCCCACAACTTTCGCATCGTATGGGAGAAGGACATCGTACACTGAAGCAGGGTTTTCCGGACGGGGCTATGTCAGTTCGGGCTCAAAGCAAGATTTCCGATCGAAGATGAGTAGATTTGGGTCGCATGAGCTTTACTCACAATGGGCGAGAGCTTGCGGCGCAAGCGGTCCGCGAGAGTTAGGGCCAGAACCCTCGATGGGGTAGAACCTTCCTGCAGCAAACGCACGCGCCGGCAGCTGGCCAGCGCCAGGGTCCTCGGCCTCGGGCCTCCCGCATGCTGATCCCTGCTCGTCTGCCTGACGTGCAGGGGGTTCGCCTGTGGGATCACTAAAATGAAAAGTAGGGAACCAATGGAGAGCTTGAGTGAAGTTGTCTGCCTTTCCGGTTGCACGACCCGTCGTAGCCGTCTTGTGGGGCCGTGAGCATTGCTTGTCGCTGGTCTTTGCGGCCGCAACTGCGGCCACGTATGTGTTTATCTTGCGGCGGTTGTGCTTGCCGTGGCTTGAGGAGGGAGGGTTGTAAGGGATAAACATGGCCAGGTATAGGGGAAACTGTTACATAATCGATAGTGCGATGAGGTTCTGGATGAGAAATATATGAGATTCGGTGGGACGACATTTATAGTAATACGAGTCAGCTATGTTCACCATATTGTTTCCCATAGCCTTGGTCTACCAGGATGCCGGATCGTAGATACGCGGTGGGCGCGAAAAAATAAAACGCGAGAATTCTCGGCTTGGGAGAGATGGCGCCAAACCGCATTCGGCAATTCAAGACTCCGACTATCTACACAGCAGCAGCCGAGGCAATAAGCTGAAGCTATTCCGAGCACCCCTACAGCTCAACGTTCCCAGGCCCAGTACCCCCCTCCTTCGACTGGACCAGTCCCACCGTACACGACCCACTCGGGATATCCAGAATGAAATCCCCACTCCGCCCATGATGCCCCCGAATGCCCACGTGGAACAACTGCCCCGCATCCCCGGCCTTCAGCATGCACTTGTAGTTCTCATCCGCCTGTCGCAAGAGGTAGTGCGCCCCGCCAGCCGCAGTGTACTTTGCTCGCACCGCCCAGAAATCCGTATCCGTGTTTCCGAACCCCGTGGTGAAGTACACCGGCACCACCGGCGAGAAACCCTGGGGGGGGATCGACATCGTCCACGCGCTCCGCCTCTCGCCCGTCCCTTCGTGCGTATGCGCGAGTTGAGACCATTCGAACGTCTGGTCGAATTCGTTTTTGATCTTTTCCATTACCAGTCAACGGAAGCTACTACACCAAGCACACGGAAAGGGGAGTCGAGCAGAGCAGGGGGCATGCCTACCCGTGCGAATGCGTAGGTATTGAACTCGTCCTCGTCGTCATTGTTGCTAATCTGCGTGTTCATGCCGTCCTATTCATCTTCAGTCAAACATGATGCCTCGGAGAGAACTGGTGGGACATGCATACACTGTTCATCGGCATGTGGAAGGTGGATCCCTCGATGGTCCACGTGTACACCTGCCCACTGTCGGACTCCTGCAGGTTGCAGGTGCTGTCCCGGTCGATGTAGAAAGTCTCGCCGTCTTCGAAGGTGATGTCCAGGTTCCATGTGTCGCTACCAGTGAAAATGCCTGATACGGTCAGCACCTGTGTTCGAGCTCGAGAATAGTCGTGGCTCTCTACCACTTGAACATACCCGTCGCATATTTGATCCAGACTGCTGGGAGGGTCTGCCCGCTCGGCACGTTATCCCAGGCCTGGACGTTCAGCTCCTGCTTGCTGATGTGCGCAAATCGGATGCGCTTTAGGGGTACTGGGAGCGAGTTTTTGATCGCGATTTGGGTGTAGTACGTCGTGCTTGTTACGTTGACGTTATCGGGTGATTGGGAGCGTGGGGTGGAGGGAGAGGTTGCTGATGGAGACGATACGCCGTAGTTAGCAAAGGCTTTGCAGTGACAAGGGGGGGAGTATTCCACGTACCAGTCACGGCAATAAGAAAAAGAGGTAAAAGAAGCATCATCCTGGACATGAAATCCAAGTTCATGAAGAAGTTAAGATTGTTACCCATACTGCCGTACTATATCGGTAAGAGGTAGCTATGTTTGCTGAGCATGTACCGCAGGATGCTTTCGAGACGTTGGGTGGCACTTGCCTGGAACTACCTACTTTATAACTCCCGGTCCTTTCGGCTCATACAGGCTATGTTATGCGATGTTCATCAGGTGAACAAGTCTTGCTTTTTTGTAAGTGGAAGAAAATCCTCTCGGCTCGGATTGCCGCCTTTTCTGCGCCTCCAAGGCTCTATCGCCTCAGCTGAACATTCAGCTCGCCATGGCGGGCGCTTACGATGCGAGTGCCATTGGTTAATTGCTATTGATATTCTTCAGTGTAGATTCAGCCTCGGACTTACCGGTACTCAGTTATAGATGGGTCTGTTCGATTCAAGGTACTAGATTTCTGCACATGGTCTCCCATCCGCGGCTGTGCCGGGTCATCTGCGATTCAACTGCTAGACTGGGAGGCACCGAGTCTAAAGGCCGGCTACGTGAATGGCAGGGAAGAGGAAGTTCGATCGGTTTAGGCGAGCGATGCTAGTGGAAGCGCTGATCATATGTAGTCACGCTTCTTCGATGTCATACTGCATCCTCATCTTGCCTCAAATTTCGGTGACTGGATAGCCTGTGATGAGCGAAACACCGACGAAAACTCTGTACAGTAATGGAAGATGCGGAAAGTCCCATTTCCTACTAGGGTGGATTGTAGGAGGTTCTTTGGTGATATAGAATCCGCTCCTCATGTGGCCCGCTAGTTAAACAACTTTACCCAGCATTCCCCTGCCAACTCAAATCACAATAGAAGATTTCTCTTTCGGACTATTGGCTATTGGTGACGCCTCCGAGAGGTGGGAGATGTATAGTTTCTGACTACGTCAGGCTGACTGCGAGAATTAGCTAAGGCCACCGAGGTCGGGCCCCAGGCCGCCGTCAGCTATGTTACTACAGTAAGTAGATGGTTTTTTTTTCTTGTTTCCCTCTAGACGAGAACACGAGACTCAAACCTCAACAAGGTGCGGGCTGGCTTGGGGAGTAAATTTGACAGTTCAGGTTTGCAGGGTTTTGGGGAATGATTTTTTTGTTAATTCTCAACTAGCGACTGGAATCATGCTATCCTCAGGTCTATAGACAAGACGTCGCTCGAAGAGCTACGACGGGTCTAGAAGCAGACAGGAACTTAGGCAGTGCATATATACTATGTACAGGGCAGATACAGCAGGCAGTAGGGTCAGTCAAGCTGGACCTGGACTAAAGACACCGCACCTTGTCATCAGTAAAGTGTAGCCTGGTCGCGATTGCCCCCGGCATCCAAATAATTAATCGTAACACTGGTACCCCCTATTGCCGCCAACGTCAGTCTATATCCAGCAATCGCAAAATTATAGGGAAACTTACTTGGACCCCTCCCAGCCCACACACTTCCAACAATCAAAGAAGTGCGTCGGATCATACCGCTTTTTCACCCCGAGCAGAGCCGGATAATTCTCCCCGAAAAACGTCTCCTCCCATTCCGGTTCCAGATACGACCCCTCGTTCACGTAGCACCCGCCCCGCGGCGTCAGCTCCTTCAGCGGCTGCACGGTCTCCAACCACCGTTCCTGCAGCGCGGTCTGGTTCGCCGTAGAGCGCACGTCAAACCAGCCCCCGGTCATCAGCAGATGCCACAGCGCCGAGCGCCACGCGGGGTGCACGCTAGTTGTATTCCCGTTCTGCACGTTGACGGGCGTGGTCATGATGACCTGCGTCAGGGCGTACTCCTCGGAGATTAGGGCATTACTCCGCCGGACCCCTTTCAGCACCGCCGTCACCAGATCCGTGACACTTCCCGGCGACGCAAAGAGATCGCGCGGAATCAGCCGGCTGGCGACGGCTTCGTAGATCCCGCCCGGCGTGAGCTGCGTCGCGATCGCCTCGGTCAGCGTCAGGAAATCGGTGTACTTCGCGTACGTCGTGTAGTTGCTCTCGGAGACCTGGATCAGCTCGGGGTGGGCCCGCACGGCGGCCACGAAATCCCGCGTCAGCGCCGGCAGCGCCGTTTGATTGTTTGACGGCAACACCAGGTAGAGCTCGACCTGGCTGGGCCAGTAGTAGGCATGGCCGGAGACGTTCTGGGCGGACCAGAGGGGCTGCGCGGTGGCGTGCTGCGTGAGCAGCCACTCCAGTCCGCGGTACTGAAGGTCACCCCCCGCCGTCGTCGTGTTCGTGTTGAAGCTGGCCTTCAAGGAGTAGACGTTGATCTGGACGGCGGGGTAGAGCTGGAATTTGTAGCTCGTCAGAACGGCGAACGTGCCGCCGCCGCCGCCGCGCATCGCCCAGAAGAGATCCGGGTCGGAGCAGGCGTTGATCGTGCGCAGCTGGCCGTCGGCCGTGACGACCTCGAACTCGACGGCGTTGTCGACCAGCAGCCCGCGCGAGGGCCCAAACACCCCGTGGCCGCCGCCTTGCCCGAACCCGCCCGCCAACCCCACCGAGCCCTCATTCCCGCCCGTCACGTCCATCCCAAACCCCTGGAAGTACGCGTACACGTCTGACGCCTGCGCGCCCGCCCCGATCTCCCCGATGTGCTCGTGCTGTTGAGAACAGTTCGAGGCGGTGAAGTTGGCGTGGTAGGTCATGTTCTTCAGGTGGTGCGTCCAGATGGCCAGGGTGTCCGGGCGCGTCGACCGCCCGAAGTAGTCGTGGCCGGTGTTCTTGATGCTGATCCGGAGGCGATTCTGGCGCGCGAATCGCACCGCCGTGGCTACTTGCTGCGCTGAGTGGGCGTCGACGTACAGCGCCGACAGGCGGCCCAGTCGGCACTCGTCTGACTGCACGTTCCACCCGTCGAGCGGGTTCAGCGCGCAGCTTTGGAGCCCGCACGTCTCCCAGTTGAGGCCCGTCGCCGCTCCGTAGACTTCGGTGCGGGGCTGGTTGAGTAGGTAGGTCTTCTGGGCCAGGGCACAGGAGGCTGGGTCGTAGGAGAGCGAACTGTAGTAGCAGCTGGCGGCGAAGGGGACGGTGCGGTGGAGGTTCCCCGACAGGCTTTTGTTGAACTGCGCCCATTCCTCGTTGGACGGCCAGCAGGACTGTCCCGCGTGACAGTTGTACTCGACGGACGAGCTGGTGTTGTGGAAGGCTGTTGCCGCGGCTGCGTGGGGGAGGAGGTCCAGCGCCCAGAGGGCGGACGCGGCCTGGATTACTGAAAGAATCGGTACGTGGACCATGCTGTAGGGAGAGGAAGGCCGGGTTGTGTGCAGGGCCCTAGGGTAGGAGGAGGATTGTTTTCATCTCTGGGTGTTGGGTGCTTACTTTAGGGGAATATTTATACCCCGGTAGACTTTACGGTTTTGTCAGACACGAAATGATGGAAGAAGGCATGTCAGTCAGTAGCCGAGCTGAGATCGACAAAAGCCCTCGGCTCAGCCTCGTCTATTGTGGATATCGCAGCATGCACTCCAGTGCTGTGCTGGTTGTAGCTCATAACAAGCCTGTGTCGATCAACAAAGCCTAATTGGTCGAACATCTGGATTTCCTGTTCTGGCCTAGCGGGAGGAACACCCGCGGGATGAACGCATCCACCACGCCTGTTCCATTACAGTTAACCCATGGGGCTCGTTGAGCAACAGCGGGCGCAGCCTCTCAGCTTGGGTCCACAAATCGGTCATCTTGTTGAATGTGGTTTTGCCGGGCACGCCAAGAACACCCCCAACAATCACATCACCAATTTCACCCGCGGAGTGGACGCTCACAGTGTGAACGGCACGGCTGGATTATACCATAATGGCCAAGAGTGTAGGGTTGATGTGGGGGCGGGCGGAGATAATTAGTTGGTGAAAAGGGTGGAGATAGGCGGATTTGTCAATTCGAGGCCGCAAAGTGTCTTATTGTACATTAAACACTCCGAAAATTCTCAGAAAGATTCTGCTATTTTCTTCCCTTCTTCGCACGAGACAAGTGTCTCGATAAGTTGCTCACATCGGGCCCGAGTTCCAATTTATATATACTATCCCGCGTATCTCCGAGCATCTGGGGAAAGCAGGGGAGTAACGCCACGCAGATTAGAACCTGCAACATCAGGAAGAGCGTGCATGTCCGTGCATGGTCATCTTGGCATCTGCTCTAGCGTCAAGACCTACCTTTTATCCTATCAAGATGGCATTCTTTACAGCATCCATTGAGACAATAACTGCTCCATAAAGGGGTAATAATAGATAGCATATAACTTATTTTTTGTTTCTTCTTCATTGAGCAAAGGCTCTTATACTATATCATTGTACCTGACATTCCAGGAAACCTTATAGAAGCAGTATAGCTGGCTATCTGAGATAAATAGGAGACAGCCGCTAAAGGGGCTGTAAAGTTCAAGCCCAGTTTAATTCTGATTCTGGGTAATGGTAAAGTGGGAGTATACTACTTTATGTACAAGTAAGTGTCATGTGCGTGAAGTTTCAAGCAACATGCTGAACAGAGGTATTAATGTCGCAGTAGCGTCCATTAGCTAGCTCCTGAAAGGGAGCACTTATGCATTGGTGGGGGTATTATGCCAATGAGGCCCTGTCATCTTGAAGACATATCCCATCTACTGGACTGAGCTTATTATGTGAGGGCTAAGATTGAGTTGGAGTTTGAGCTGTTAGTCTTGTAGGTCTATATCTTAGGGCCTGTTTATACCGACTAAGGGCTCTTGGGCGAATTAACTCTTGCCTATTTAAGCTCTGCTTGCCCCTATTGCAACCCACGACTCAGTTGACATTTGTGTAAAGCAATCTAACAAGGGTAATTAGGGATCACTCAGATAAGGTGAAGTAGAGAGCCAGCCACGTTCCGCACCAACAGCATACTAACACCATACAAGACTCAAATGTCCGAGTGAAGCTTGTAATCTAATTCATCCACAGACTTAAATAGCTAGGTTCGAATAGTACACTAAAGAACGGAAGGCATTTCGGGAGAGTATCATATTTCACAAATACGCCGCCACAAGAACAGCCGCCGCAGCACCTCCAAAGAGCATAGTCAAATCATGGGTAATGAATCCAGCAGCTCCGGTGCTGCTCTGGGTTGTGCTTGTACTATTGTAATTGGTAGTGGAGGCGACAGCGGCAGTAGCCGATTTGTCGCTGATTGCCGTGTTCGTGCCGGTAGTGGAGGCATTAGGAATGGTAGAGGTAGCCGTTTCAGTGGCTAGCGCAGTCGCAGGGAAGGTGGCATCTCCAGCACCGGTCAGCGTGCCCGCAGTGATGGTCACGGGCACAAAGCAGCAGAGGTCATCAGCGCCCATGGTCGTGGTATAGGTCCCAGTGAAGTCTGCCCCCGTGCCCGAGATCATCTCGGTGCAGACCCCATAAGTAATTCCTTGCACCGAACAAGCCATGGACATATACCTGAACGGGGTGGGTTAGCAAGTAATCCTCGCAAGTCTGACAAGGAGGACGAAGGCCACGTACAGATCATCTTCTGGCTCCCCCAGGAAATAGTTGGTGGTTTGAGGGCCCGCAACAATCGTCATACCGGGTCCCATGCCGCAGTCATCATCATCGTCATCATCATCATTATTATCAATACCAGTAGCGGTCGGACAGTTGACAAAGTAGGTAGTAGCAGTTGCAGCCTACCCTATCCGTCAGTGTGCGATACTTGAATTCCGTGCACCGCGACGGGTGGGCAGCACTTACCACGCCCATTACTGAGCCTGCCAATGACTCGGCGTCGGTATCCGGGATAAATAGGGTAGTGACAATGTTCTCGGCTGAGACAAGGGTAGCGGCAGCCAGGCCCAGAACCAATTTCACGTGCGTCATAACGGCAGAACAAAAGAATTATCTGGTGTAGCGATGAAGAAGAATAATGTGCAAGAGGCAACAAAAGTTTCTCAACGGAAACAAGTAAGGGGGGAGCTATCAGCCTCGAACAAACTATCAGGTACCAGCCTAGAAGCTGAAGCCTTGCCAAGAGAGGCTAGTCTGGCCGAGCCCCTTCTTGGCTGATCTCCTTTGGGGTTTAGATCTTGGGTCACTAGGTCTAATCGAGCCATGGTCAATCTGCATAGAGACTAGCTGACTTGGTTGCAGCTTGGCCCAATTTCATTCCCGATATGAGCCAATAGTTCGGGCCCAGCCGATGTGCGGGCGAGATGCCCGGAGGGCGAACTTCAGAGGCATTCTGGGTGTACTTCTGGAGGGAGATCAAGCGGTGAAGACTGTCAATGTGTGGTTAACTTTGATACATTGCTCAAGCGGATTCTACCCCTGATGCTGCTCCATGCTAATCTTCCTCATACCTACATGAGTCCTAATAAGCGAGCACCAAATCTAGATCATTGAAGGAAACTACCCAAGGGCCTCTTGTTGGCGGCATTTTTCACTCACGTGATACCTAGGCCGTGGGCCCTGGCACTGAGCGTGATCCATATCCTACTCTGTACTCATTCCGTATTTGTAGTGAACCGACTCCACTATTCGAACGTCACACAAATTTGGAAGGGTATCTACCTGAAGAATGAAATCCATGATCGTAACTGCAGCACTCCCCCGGTTGAAAATACGCCGCCGGGATGTATAAGGAGAGACTCAAGCGAGGTGTTTTTTTTTTGTTTTGGGGTCACCCACCACCGCTGCTCTGAGATCGTGGCTTTAGCTTTGCATGCTATGGGGTTGGCATACGCAGAATGACTGCATTAACATGCGGTGAAGGTCGGGTGCATGGCTGATGCTTATACTGATTACATCTTGCGTAGTAGCTTCAAGTATTACCTAGCGTGGCTCTACAGTATGAGATATAAATCAAGCTAATAGACTTTATGGTCCCGCTCCCCTCATCTGTTATAATTTAGTGCTTGTCCGCTTGCTCATAGTATCAAGTAATCATGGATGTTTTATAAGTATTGTCACCTAGATTGCGATATGGAGAAGATGGCCAAATTCACAGAGAATACGGGAAAGACGAGGATGCCGGTCTCCTGATCATACTCGCGGAATCACCTCCCCGGGATCGGACGTCTTGGATTTCGACCTTGCCTGGACAAATACATATGTGTAACTTGATATTCTGTCTTGTTCCGGTGATTGGCAGACGGTATTCGGTCGGCGGCTTCCCCACGCTATCTGGATAGCGCAGTAAGTCAATGTGTAAGTTCCATGGTGGGCCATACGACCATTTGGTATGATGTAGTGGGGCATGGGGTGGGGCATGGGGCTGGTACTGAAGATCTGCTTATAAAAAGTCTACAGACTTTCCAAGCAGGAAAAGAATGCTAAGAACAGTTGATTGAGTATGGCATGAGACGGGACAAGGCCTGCTCGTTCCCTGGCATATTTCATAAGCTGCAATGCAAGAAGAATCAGTTAATGTCTACAGCCGAAGTGAGTTGGATACTTACATAGTACATAACTACCTAGTACCGTATAACTTGATTAAGTTATGCTAGATTAGTCATCATGGTATCATCATAAAGTCACCCGTCCAATGAAGGTAGCAGTAAGAGGAAGCGGTCACGGGACGGGACGCGTCTCTCCGCCCGCGCCTTCCGCCTTCACGTTCCTTCTCCTTCGCCTTCCCCTCGTCCTCGTCATCGTCCTCGACCTCCTCTCTCTCGACCTCCTCCTCTTCTTCTTCCACCTCAATATCATCTCCCATTCCCCATTCCCCATCCCCCCATCTCCTTCCTGCTCCCTGAAACCAGTCCTGCCAGTCGGTTGTCACAGGTGGATCTCAGATTGCGCATGTACTGGTCGGCCTATCTTGCTGTTCTCGAAGCCAGTCCTGCCTGTGGCATGTACTCGTGACCAGACCGCATCTTGCTTTCCCCTTGGCCTCTCTTGCTGTTCTCGAAGCCAGTCCTGCCATTCCTGTGTTTTCATAGGACTCTCTGTCGTCTCTCGTGGATCTCAGATTGGGCATGTACTCGTGACCAGACCGCATCTCTACTTCCTCGTTCCCCCTTCCTAGGTATCTGCTCTCTGTCGTCCTCGAATCCAGTCCTGCCATTCCTGTGTTCTCATAGGACTCTCTGGTTTCACTCGTTGATCTCAGATTGGGCATGTACTCGTGACCAGGCTCAGAAGCTCATACATTCTCATTCTTCCATTTCCCCCCTCCTATTGAGAGTCAGGGCTGCTCGACGTCGCTCAAAGCCTGGGTGGGTGGGCTACTCGATTCTTCGAGGGTTATCGTTTTAATCATTCAGCGGGTCTCGCAGCAACAGAATGACAACTACCTCTACGCGAAACCGACCATGGGTCTCGAAAGTCCTTGTTCACGCACCCGATCTTGATGTTTTTTGTGTCGCCCGCCTTCGTATCGTCCAAGGCCAAACTATTGCGCATGGAAATACTGCCAACCAAGCATCTATCTTGCTTTCAATCACGACAACTCTCGCTAACTCGAGCAGCAGATCCCAGGTCCTGACTTTGAATATCCCTCCCGAACGAGTCGAAAAATGCGGTCTAGCTCGGAGAAGCAACAACACTCTCTGTCCAGCTCGTCTCCTTTCCTCGCTCCCGGCGCCTGTTACAAATGTTTCGGCCGTCTCAACATTAAGTCTTAGCCTCGACACGGTCGGCATCGTTCTTAGTCCATCCGGCATGGACTCTCTCATACCGGCCATACCTGGAGATTTGGAATTTTACTCGTTTGCCAGAATTTGTCAATCTAAATTTCTCCGTCTACACTTCTCCGCACGACAGTTTGTCGATAACGAAATTGATAGACTACAAGATTTCGCGTATGCCCTCCGGCGAAGAAGTCTTCGGGCAGTGCCTTTAAACACCGCTCGCCATGGAGTATGCCCGAAAGATTGGCGTGTCTTTGCTCTGTCGCCCGATCCACCTCCATATTGCCAGGAGTCCGTGTCCGAGCAGGTGGATCCCCCCGTATATCATGAGAAAATGCTAGGAAAACGGCGCAGAGGTATCTTCTCACTCTGCCATAGCGCCTTGTGTAATAGTTCAATAATAGTATCTAGATTCACGGTCAATATCACCCAACGCCGAACGGCGAAAAAGATCGCACCGTCTTTCCCCTCGACCGATAGGCTCTCCAACTGAAGTTGCGACTGATGTTGCGACTGAAGTTAACACGCCGAGTATTCGGGCTCCTTCCCGATCACCGTCCTCGATCCGCCTGACTCACTTTCGGCGTGCTTCCTCCCGCGACCAAACAGAGTTCCAGAGACTCGCGCATCTGGAACACGAGCTCCGTGGTGTTTCTGATGACCTGATCCGTAGACTTTTAATTCGATCCGGCCGCGAACATCTGCTAGCCATACCGCAAGACGTCGACCGCCGTCTGGCACGCGAGCTCGAGCCTGTAGGCAGCTCTCTCGAGTCCGACATGGTGATGCTTGGGCGCCGGCTCGAACGGTACGTTGATAAAACAATTGAGCGTCGGCTCGCACATTACGTCGACTGTGCCGTGGCCGAGTGTCGCGATCAGCTCTACGACGTATGCACCCAGAAGGAAGCCCAATTCGAAGAAGAGATCGACAACGGTAACATCGAGGTACGCAACACAGTGAATGACTGTATGAAAGACTTGGAGGAGCAGGTACAAGGGCACATGGTTCAGATGGAAGAACAAGCGCAACGGTGCATGAGGCATATCGAGGACCGGGCAGCCGAGATCGAGATCGAGATCGAATCGGAGATATCTGCGAAGAGGAAACTTTCACTTGATGGGAAGCCAAGCGCACGTCATGGGTTGCGTGCCCGTGTCACGCGCAATTCCGTTTAAACTAGTACCGGTGTCGTTGAGAGCTTGTACTTGTATTCTATTGAAGATAGACACCCATCCCACTTGGATCCGGAGACTAAAGCATCCCTGCGTTCTCTTTCGATCCTCCGGCAGCGTTCATCGGTCAAACAACAGTGGCTGGATTTGAGGCGCAGGGCGGAAATGGGGAGCGGCCCGGGGATCGAGTTACATGCCAGGTCCGCATCAAGCCGCGAAAACGCCTTTGCCCTATCGGGTACACCTCATTAACAGAGTCGGACTAGAGGCAGGCGATGGGAAAGCCAGGCGTGCCTGAGGCCCTGAGCAATGGCTGCTTCTCTAACCGATCTAACAGTAAGCACTAAGTAACACTAACGCTCACACTAACGGTGACCCTCTTAGGGATCGAGGCGCAGCAGCACAGCGAAACCGTAAAGCCTCGCAACATAAGCAACACAAGCAACATAAGGCATGCCAGATCTTGCCTATCTGTAGGCACGTTTCCGTGATTTTCCACTAGAGCCTCCATTTCAGTCGCTCTGATCCCGGTTTTGCAATTTGGTCAGTACAGTAGTAGTGACGTGGCCTCGGACTAATTGCTGTGACCTGCGACGGTTTAATGAAAACGGACCAGTAAGATGGCGGCGAATTACTGTCCAAATGTGTGGATCTACTCCGTATGATTCCTGCCCTTGAAGACTCCAATGTCAATGCTGGTCTACTGTCAGACCACAGAGGGTCATGTGACCGGTGCACCACAATTGGGGATATAGCTTCTTCACACCTTCTCCTCCATCAGCTGTTGATGTTCCTTTGTTCCCTTGATTCTACCAATACGTCCTCAGTCACCCGTAAGAGGTACTGATCCTCATTGTGATTTCGTACCCAGCAATTGTTTACCTCATGCATTCAACAACCTTCGCCGCGCTTATAGGATTTTTCCTCCTGATTAGCGTGTTCTTGGTCACACGCCGGCCGAAAGCATCTTCCTCTTCCTTACCCTTACCACCAGGACCCAAGCCACTGCCTTTGATAGGCAATGTTCATCAGGCTCCCAAGTCCCATGGATGGAGGACCTATCGCGAATGGAATGAGCAATACGGACCCATCGTTCACCTCAATATGCTTGGACAACCGGTCATCATTTTGTCGACCTCGGAAGTAGCCCATGACCTGCTCGCCAAACGTGGAGTGATCTTTTCCGACCGACCTCGACTGTTCCTCGCGACGGAGTTGGCATTGAAGGGGCTCAACATCCTCATGATGAACTACACCGACCAATTCCGGCATCATCAGCGGCTCCAGGTGTCCGTGCTGAACGCGACTCCAGCTGCAGCATATCTCCCCATCCAAGCCCTAGAGTCCCAACAGTTGCTGTACGATCTCTTGCAAACAAGCGGAAGCGCGGGGATTGATGTCCAGGGACCGTTCCAGCGGACCACGGCCAGCATCATCCACACCTTATTGTACGGCTTCCGGATTCAAGACCCCAACGACCCGGTGCTCCGTAGCGTGGTCAAACTCAACGAAGAGTTCTCCGAGTTCATCCAGGTGGGCGCGCATATCGTCGACCAGTTCCCGGTGCTGAACCACCTGCCGGGCTTTCTGGCGCCGTGGAAGGCAAAAGCGGAGAACCACTATACCACTAAGTATAGCCTGCGTCTCAGCAACTTCCGCCGGGCGCTGGAGGATTCGGACGCCTGGAACATCTCCAAGCAGCTGAAGAAGACGGTTGAAACGGATGACAATCGCGACATGCCCTTGGACGAGCTCGCTTTCGAGCTGGGGACGATGATCGACGCCGCGCTCGACGGCACGACCGACAGCCTGGTCTGGTTCGTGGTCGCATGTATAACCCAAAATCAAGGCTTTATCACCAAGGCCCGCGCCGAGCTCGACGCCGTGGTCGGCCAAGCCCGGCCGCTGCCCGACGATAAGCCCAACCTGCCGTACATCACCGCGATCGTCGAGGAGGTCCTCCGGTGGCGGCCCGCCGGCCCGGAAGGCGCACCGCACCTCAACCGCGAGGAGACGACCTACAACGGCTACCGCATCCCCAAGGGCTCGGTAGTGGTGGCCAACATCTGGACGATCGCCCGCGAAGAGACCGTGTTCGGCCCCAACACGGACGCTTTCATCCCGGATCGCTGGCTGGACGACAACGGGGACTTCCGATCTTCCCTTCCGGCGCCAGCGTTCGGGTATGGGCGACGGACCTGCCCAGGACGGTACTTCGCGCGCAATGTCCTCTGGATCATTGTGGCGCGGTTGCTCTGGTCGTTCGATATCAAAGCCGGTGTGTCTGAGACGGGCGAGCCGGTCCCCGTGGACCCGGAAGCGTGCACCTACGGTTTGGTCATGCGCGCCCTGCCCTTCAAGGCGCGATTTGTCCCGCGCGGGTCGTGGGTGCGTGAGGTGATCGCTCGAGGGGGGGATACTTATGGCGCGGATCACTCGGCGCTGCTGCGGCAGATTGGGCCTGAGTTTGGGAAGCTGTAACTGGAAGGTCAAAACCACTTGATACTGTGTACTATAAGGCTACTGTAAGCACATAGACCACTAAAATCATCGGTTGAGTTAGCGACGCGTCGTGGTTGAGCCCAGGTAGCTGTCTGGTTGTAAGAACCCACCCCGCATCGAGCTGGATTGGACAGGGTCTATCTCCACGTGGCATGGCACTTTTACCGCATGGTTGAGGTGTCTCGGTCAGAAATTGACTGGCTAGCTTTGCGCGAGTTGGGTCGAGATACCGACTATATTCCATGTCTACGGGGAGGTAGGCGGACGGCGATTGTGTGGATGGGGTGATCCGGGTGTGGGGTGCCCGTGGCGGAGACCGGGGAAGGAACACGGGGGAGTGATATGGAGCGATGATAGGTGTGCTTCTCTTGGAGTTTGACAGATCGCGCTTGGTTGATCAAATCTACTATGAAGGCGCCATCGATCTAAATCATAGATATGGAAAAGCAGACTGTTTTCAGCACACAAACCCGAAAGGCAGGAAACCGGGGCGGGGATGGGAGCAACTGGAAGTTGATCTGTAGGAGTCAGCCATGAGGGATTCGACTCTGGAGGTCATGTCTACCTGGCATAGTTTGCGCACTATCTTCCGCTGACATCGTTGATTTCACACATTTGTCCAGAAGTCTAGAATTGACGATCAACTCTCTCTCCTCCCGTCTTGTTCTCGGAGCCCTCGGGGCTCTCGGATCAATCCCCTCATGGCAAAGATACATACCCTAAATGGAAAGGATCACGAACATCCAGGAGTTAGCATTCTGACTTTCTTCTCTATACCACTGTCCGCCTTGTTTGCCATAGCTATAGCTCAGTGCCACGTCAGCAGATGGCAAGTGATCGGCATAGTTTTTGACCCGAGTTTGAAAGATCCGAGGGCCCGAAGTGATCACTCTCCAGTCGCTGGCAGCATGAGGGAGGAACGTTGGATGCTGGATCTCAGGTCCGCCTAGAACACATCAGTCGGACCTGACGGAACCAAACTCAAGGGGAAATTACAAGCAAAAACATCTTCATCCTTGGGTCTGCGGCAGAAGCAAGTTAGAGATTGATTGTTGTGCTTCCAGTCATGGCATCATCTATCAAAGGCCCTGGTGCGGTGCAGAGCTACAATGGTCAGTTGAAGCAGTGCCCCCCAGAAAGCTTCCCGGCGCTGCTGCCGGTTCTTGATTGGAACGCTGACACATTTCGATGGAACAACTTCAGGTGCCGGTCTGCGAATTGCCATTGTCCACGCACGGTGGAACGATCGCCTCATCGACTCCCTCATCGCGGGGGCCAAGGGTCAACTACTGGAAGCCGGGGTGAAGGAAGAGGACATCGTTCTGGAGAGTGTGCCAGGGAGCTATGAGCTTCCTTCTGCCGCGCAAAGGTAACGTCTTCCCTTTCTTCCGCTGTTCTTTGTCTTTGCTTGTGCATCTTCTGATTCCCGATATCCCCATTCACAGAATCATCCACACAGCACAGGATTCTGAGAACAATACAGCCTTCGACGCGGTCATTGCCATCGGGGCCTTGATCAAAGGGGAGACCATGCATTTCGAGTACATCTCCGCGGCGGTCTCTCAGGGGCTTATGCGCGTTCAGCTGGACACCCACGTTCCCGTGATTTTCGGGCTCCTGACCCTCTTGACTGAACAACAGGGGCTTGAGCGAGCCGGGCTGGCGGGAGCGCGGCGTCATAATTATGGAGAGGACTGGGGACGGGCGGCGGTGGAGTTGGGGGTGAAGAATCGCGAGGACTGGGTGGCGGGGGGTTGCAGGTCGGCACTCGGTTAGTATGAGCATTATCTTCGCATTATACATAGACATTTATGGTCGAATGCACAACGATCTCTTCTCGCAGAGAACATCAATCATGATGTATTTACATGTAAATGTTTCCGGAATACGTTTTAATCTCTTTCCATTTTGCTTTTTTTTTGGTGGATTTCTTTGCTCATGCTTCTATTGTTTCCTTGTTACCCCCCGTTTGTTTCTTTCTCCATCCCTGTTCTTCTGTCCTGGGAGGCACAGTACACCTGTCGAAATCCAAACAACTCCCAAGAAAGTTCAAGGCATGATGATCACGACGGATCGAGATGCAGATCATAAGTGGAACTGCCAGGGTGCCCCAATGTTATCTACACACTTTGTGCATGTCCCGAGCCTCCGAGGCTACCGAGACCCCCGATACTCACACGTCGGCGGAGCTGCCCCATCCAGAATAAGCGACTCGTGATATCACCATGGATGAGAGGCGCACTCGCCTAGTGATCAATAGTAAGCGCAGGATCAGGAGGAAATAGGAGGGGCCAAACATTGAACAAGCCCGCTTGCCCTCACGAAAAGAGCATGAGGCAACCCACGCTCCAACCATCCGTATGCAAATCCCTCGCCACTTGTAGGCTTGGGAATCATATAAGAGCCACCTCCCCATCTTCATCTAAACCCTCGCTCATGACTACCAAGCTTGAATGAGATATACCTGGTCTCTCCGATTGTATATTGCTTACCAGAAGATCAGCTGCCAAGATGCCTCACCACCACCACCAAGACCCCTCCGTCCAAGACCTCCCCCACATGAATTTCCGTTCCTATGTGGAAGCCTTGAAGCAGGACAACGACCTGGTTGAGATTGACCGCGAGATCGATCCGGACCTCGAGGCTGGAGCCATCATTCGCAAGGTGTGCGAGACGGACGACAAGGCCCCGCTGTTCAACAACCTCAAGGGCGCCGACAAGGGTCTCTTCCGGATCCTGGGCGCGCCCAACTCCCTGCGCGCCGACCCCAAGACCCGCTATGGCCGGCTAGCGCGCCACTTGGCTCTGCCGCCCACTGCGGGCATGAAAGACATCCTAGACAAGATGATGTCCGCAGCCCACCAGAAGCCGATCCCGCCCCGGGTGGTCCCCACGGGCGCCTGCAAGGAGAATGTCCTGAATGACGGGGAGTTCGACCTGACGAAACTCCCTGTGCCCCTGCTACACCAGGCCGACGGGGGCAGATACATTCAGACCTACGGCATGCATGTTATATCCTCGCCCGAGGGCGATTGGACCAATTGGTCGATTGCGCGCGCGATGGTCTACGATAAGAACCATCTTACAGGGTTGGTGATCCCACCTCAACATATCTGGCAAATGCAGCAGAAGTGGAAGGCCATCGGAAAGGATGTCCCCTGGTCGCTGTGCTTCGGGGTTCCGCCAGCGGCCATCATGGCGGCCAGCATGCCCATCCCGGACGGGGTGACCGAGGCCGGCCATATCGGCGCGTTCACGGGCCACGCCATTGATGTGGTCAAGTGCGACACCAATGATCTCTTGGTGCCCGCCAACACCGAGATCGTCCTGGAGGGAACCATGAGCATCTCCGAGACGGTGCCCGAGGGGCCCTTCGGTGAGATGCACGGGTATGTTTGGGCACCCGTCTTTCCTTTCGCGTCGCTGTTAGACTAACCAATGACCCTCAGCTATGTTTTCCCTGGCGATTCGCACCCTTGCCCCCTGTACAAGGTCAACAAGATCACCTACCGCACCGGTGCTATCCTCCCCGTTTCCAACTGCGGTCGTCTGACCGACGAAACGGTATGTTCACTTCCTCCGCTTATTCTTATTCCCGCTCCCTCCCAAATCCCCTCAGAGGATAACTAATCCCAAAACAGCACACAATGATCGGCCCCCTCGCGGCCGCTCAGATCCACCAACTCTGCAAAGACGCCGGCCTCCCCGTCAAGGAGGCGATGTCTCCCTTCGAATCCCAAGTAACCTGGGTGGTCCTACAGATCGACACCGCGGCCCTCCGCCGTCTGAAAACCACCTCGGCCGCGTTCAGCAAGCAAATCGGCGACCTGGTTTTCAATCATAAGGCCGGCTACACGATCCACCGGCTCGTCCTCGTGGGCGACGACATCGACGTCTACAACTGGAAGGACGTGATCTGGGCCTTCTGCACCCGATGCCGCCCCCAGCTGGACGAGTACTTCTATGAAGACGTGCGCGGCTTCCCCCTCATCCCGTACATGTCGCACGGGAACGGCTCCCCGACCCAGGGCGGGAAGGTGGTCTCGGATGCGCTGATGCCGTCGGAGTATACCACGGGGCCGGACTGGCAGGCGGCTGACTTCCGGCATTCGTATCCGCGGGAGATTCGGGAGAGGGTGGAGGCTAGCTGGACGGCGATGGGGTTCCGGGGCGAGGATTGAGTGGGAAGGCCGAGGAGTTGCGGGTGCGTATATGAAGTACGGTAGGGCCCGCGCAGGTCCTTGGTGTGGTCTCCTCTCGCTTTCTTTTCTGGTGGCCTTTCTACTGTGTACATGACAGGCTCAATCAAATTCTTATTGCTTGTATGCATAGCTTAACTATTGCTTCTATGATATGTTACAGTTGTGTGGGTGGATCTTCCTTGCAATCTTACCGTGCAGGCCTTGGAGGGACTCCGATGACTTGGATTAGGGCTACCCGCAAAGACCTCTGGACCCCGTCGTAAATATATTTCGCTCGAAAGTACTACAACCACCATCACCCCAAACGAGCCGAGAAACAGCACGGAGGTATTCATTCCACCCTTCTCCAGTAAGAATATTCGCTAGATAGTATACAAAATCTCTTAAACCACCGGAATTCTGATAGATACTCTCGCACAAAGGGATTTTCTTACCAAGGGGGGTTCTGACGTAACCCGAAAGCGCGCTGCAGCACAATGCATTAGAATAGGTAGCACATTCTCGAGCCCGTGTTCAACAATCGGGGCTGTGGTTTAGTGGTATAATATTCCCTTAGCATGGGAGAGGTCCGGGGTTCGATTCCCCGCAGCTCCAACTTCTTTTGCCCTCGAAGATTCTTGATCCGGGGTGGTAGGTTCGACGCGTGGAGATGGTGGAGATTTTTATCTGGTCGGGCTGGTATATTTACTCCTTGGGCCTCGGGCTGTTCAAGCCTTGATATACAGCGATGTCTGTTACAATTGCCAGTGGAGACATGATTGATAATTTCGGATCTGCCGGTTTCATCTTGTTCTCAGAGTATATTTGCTCATAAACCTCAGATCATATCTGGATAGAATGCGGTACAAAAGAGACGAAGGGCGGTGGGTTGATGACAGCGGCGGAAATGACAATCGCATTGTACCGAGCCGAGTAGTAGCTGTAAAGCTATGTTGAAAAAGGTTTACACGGTGCGGAGATAGGAGCCCTGGCGACTGCAGCGGTCTCCTCTATACCGTCACTGCAAGAGGGTACCGGGGCGGGAGCTCTCTGTCAGTGCTCCCCGCAGTTCCCTTTATGTCTTGTTGAGTGCTGGGTTTATCATGGGGCAGATATATGACATTATTGCAAAAGATCCTCTTATAGTCACGATAGGCGTAGGAGAAGAACGCAAAGGAAGAGGTTGGGAAACGAAGATATGAAGGCCGCGCAAGTAAGCCATGGGTTACAGAACAAAGCAGATCGTAGAGATCGTCCACAAGAATCATTTACCACAGATCGCAAGCCTTGCCACAAAGAGCAGTACAGCCTGCCCCCAACCTCCCAAAGCCAGTCTCAACCATGAGGTAGGTAGACCCCCGCCCTAAACATCCGCAATCAACCCCTTCTTCTCCCGCCTCCCCATGAAACTAAAATACCAGGTCGGTTCGCCATGCTTGATCCGGCACCCTACATCGTACCAATCCCGGGGCAGCATATACGCCCAGTAATCCCGGTCCCGATCGCCGCCCTTTTCCAGATTCTTCGTGTTGTCCATGCAGTCCAGACACAGCCCATCGAAGTATCCCTCGACGCGCTTCGCGGCGCCGGCCACTGCGGCTTCCCAGTTGCATCCGCAATGGGTACAATCCACCGGCTTCCGGGTCCCGGGATCCGTGTATTCGCGCATCTTGCTCGCGTCGAACCTCTCCATGCGGAAGACCAGATCGTCGATGCTGCTGTGCCGCATGCACTCTTCGAAGGGCCAGACGCTGATGCGCTGTAGCTCGCGGAAGAATTCGAAGACGGTGCGTTCGCAGCACGGGGAGGGGGTGGGGGACCTCAAAATCGTCGCGATCCAACTGAAGAGGTCCTTGTGCGCGATGTTGCGGAGGCGGCCGCGGACGGCCTTCATTTGCTCTGCGGGGAGTCTGGGCGTTAGATAGGTAACAGTCGTGCCTGGTTGATATCAGGAGAAGGAATGTTTATACTCACGCAGAATCCGAGGCGGCAGATGCATGTGATGGACCTTCGTGGGGTTGCGCTCGACGATATGCTCCTCGCTCCCGTAGACCAGGGACTTGGTCGCCTCAGCGAAGAGGGTCGTATGGTCGGTCGCCCAGCTCGGGAACAGGATCTGTCGATAGTACTTCAGCTCGTCGCCGTCGTAAAGCGTCTTGATCTGGGTCTCGGCGTATTCCGCCCACGATGCAAACCAGGCCAGAAAGTCCTTCGGGTTGAGGCCGTACTTGTCGCACGCGAGCACCAGGTGCCACACGTCCGCGACGGAGACCTCCTTCACGCTCATCGCGTCTAGGGTCCCGTGTAGCTTGCGCAGTAGGACCTCCATGGCGACGATGTGGTCGTCGTGCAGGGTGATCGTCGCGCGGTCGGATTCTGCCCAGCGGTGACTGGTCAGCATGTTCTGGAAGTACTGGTTTCCGTTGATGAGCGTGGCGCGGTCGACGTTCATGGTTTTGCTTTTGTGGGGCTGGGGCTCATTTTCCTGGGGCGTGGATGACTTTTCGACGATCACGATTTGAAGGTCAGATGGGCTTGTGATTGTGATCGTGTCGGGGTTCGGGGGGACATATTGGGGGATGATTATGGACGCGCGCGACCCGCTTTTGGGGAGTGGACTTTTTTTTAAAAGAAGAAGCTGGATAAACACTCGATAGCTGCGAGGAGGTTGATCCACTGAGCCTCAGCTGGGTATTAACGCACGGGCTTGATTTCCTAGCTGACGGAGAACACGCAGGAGTGACCAGGGTCAGAAGAAAGAATGCCTCTAAAGGCAGCGGATGATATAGAATGAAGGAGAGGAGAGGATAAGCAAGAGCGTGTTACATGCAAGATGAAAACGCTGTGAATACCTACCCAGCCGCATGCCTTTTTACTGCCACCTTTCCCTTTACGGCGTCTAACTATCCATTTACCTGCTGTCAGCTAAGGAGCAGTTTGAGTCGTTATAGGCTCAGTCCATAGCCGATATGAAATTGTTGAAATGTGGTGCAGCTGAGGGTTCATATCATGTCTCAGCAAAGAAATTTCGCAGCTCCTTCTCAAAGATACTCGTTTCCTTAGTTCACAAAAGACTTTGATATGTTAACTAGGGAGGCCAAGAAGGCTGATTCGGTCTGAATGTTATAAGGTCTTGGTGTTTGTAGTTGACTGACTTCCCTTTGCGTGGATAGTTACTTGGTGAATAACCCTGGACCACGTGGTTAGTTCACTTGAACATACCGACACAGTTGATCAAACACACAGTAAACAACAACAAGAGGTCAATGACGTTACTGTGTGCTAGGCAAGTAAAGGAGTAGATGTTAGATCACCAACAGCAAAATTCAACCAATATCTTGTGTCCACATGAACAAAGTACATGTACTATACATTACGCAGGAGCACTACTTCTATGCTAGACTAACAGGCCAAATAAGAGAAGAGAGAACTAACACATGCTACTTTGCGATAATACTGTGATGATTTAAAGAGCCCCACCGAACTTTCTTACAAAAGAAGCTAAGAAACTGGCTCCATCCTCGCAATCTTGACGATATCACTCCGTTCCACAAGCAACACCCCAGAACCGTCATCTCCCCCATCCAAACCCCCCTCTAAGCCCCTTAGTCCAGTCCTCAAAGCAGCCTCAGCAATCACACCAGCATCCTGACCAAGCGCATTCCCCCAAGAAGGAGCTACAATCCCAATGCCCCGCACCAGCCCCTGTGCGAGCCATTCCCCAGGACGGCTCTCACCACGATCCCCTAATATTACCCCGGGACGGAGAATCACGGTCTTCTCGAACTGCAACGCTTTGAGATCGGCTTCAATCCGACCCTTCATACGTGCATACGGGACCCAGGAACGCTCACTGGCGAAGGACGAAGAGACCAGGACGCACACCCGACAGCCCGCGTGCCGGGCGGCCCGTGCGAGCTCGAGCTGCAGGCTGTGGTCGATCCGGGATTGGGCCTCGAAGCTGCCGCCGACCGCGGCGCGGGTCGTCCCGAACGCGGAGAACAAGATCGCGGGTCGTTGCCCTCCGGACGGCCGCGTGATCTGGGCAAGCCACCGGGCTGGGTCTGAAGCGACGAAGGCGTGGACTTTATCTGATGACGATGCCTCCGGAGAACGGCGGCGGGAGAAGGTGTTGATTGAGGTGATGGCTTCGCTGGAGATGAGGTTTCGGAGGATGTGAGATCCCTATCGTTTTCCCGGAGTGTTTGGTCAGTAAGTGTGCAAATCGGGCACGCCGTACATTGTACCAGGATACGACGCTAAAAGGCCAAGAAGGCGTGGTCGGGGCTTACCACCAGTCCGGTACAACCTATTAGTATTGCTGATGCCATTGCTAAGGCTTGTTCAACCCAGATTCCTCAGCAAAATGGACGACGTAACCATGAAGAGGGGCAAGGGAGAGGGGCGAAGGGAGTCACAAGACGTGCCCGGAGCCTTAGAATTAGGTTGATGAGGAAGCGCTTTGCCAATGCATGCTGACAGGCTTCTCCCTCACCCAGCCATGCACGATACAGCATATCCACTCTCCCGTTACAGTTCCGTGTCTTGGGAATCCCGGTAGAAACCCGGGGCGAGGTGTACATAGAAAACCTGGGACCTGTCGGAAGACCCTGGTTCCGTCCCCCGTTCCGGAGTGCGGGTGCATCCGACCATCCGAGCTTCCGAGTGTGCTACGGGGACGCGCAAGTTTGATTCCTAGGGGCAGCGCAACTCGACTCATTCCTCTTCTTCACTGCCCCATAGTTATTCCTTCTATTGAGATTGAGCCATAAAGATAGCCTTACTCCCGCTATACATGCTACATAGTTAGTGCAATCAGCCCCCAAATATGTTGATTCCAACAATAGATCGGAACGGATAGGCATTCCGGAGATGATGTATCATACGGCAAGTCATGGTCCATCTTTGTGCAAATGTAACGAACTACGATGGTTAGACTAGCAGGAATCTATTGACTTAGGACATTCTAATTTCCCGTCTCAAAGACTCCATCGTGGGAGCTCCAAAAGGGGGCAAGAATCTTAAAGATATCGGAGCGAAGATGGTTCCATTGCCCAGTCTCATGGAAAGTAACAACTCTGTGAAAGAGTGCTTCTTGTGAGATTGGTAAAGAAAAAGGGTCTAGAAGATCCGACTCAAACTGCGAATTCTGTCCATTGTCTGTAAAGGCTGGTGGAAGTTTCGTGGTACTCAAGTCTACTCAGATAAGTACTGAGCCCTGTGAAAGTTACAATGTCCCTCACACGATCTATGTCAATCAAAGCCCAAGTTGTTATAGGCATCTAAGACTTTTCATCGACGAAAAAGCGAAAAAACAAACCACCATGATCTGAACGGTAACATACTGTGGTGTAAAACCGCCTGCTCGGCACTAACTCAATTCCCACCAGAAATCGTAGGATTGAATGTACAAAAGCTGGTGCGGAACGGCTTTCTCTCGCTCCTTCTCAGAGTCTGCCTTGTGCTGCAAAGCTTCGGAGAGTTGCATCGGCCAAGGCCCTGTTTCCTTCATGACCATGTCCATCAGCTCCTGGGGAAGAGTCGAGAGCGGAGTCGTGGCGGAATTCGCCAAGACCGCATTGCGCCACCAATCGTGCTGCTGCGGGGGCACATTCCGAGTCGAGCAGATGCGATAGTGGGGATCCACCAGCCGCAAGACGACGCACCGCTGATGGCCTGGGCGGCTCGGGTCGAGCAAGGAGAACGGAAGCCTCTTGTATCGCAAGGCATTGGGCCACATGAGAAAACGACCTTGAGTGACGGCGACGGACCCTAGGGTTTGCAGCGGCAGAGCGTTTGGGTCTTCGCCCGGTCCCGGACAGGGAGGGATTCCGTAGAGTTTGTAGATGCAGAAGGGGTCCGGTTGATGGCCGAATATGTGCAACCTGTCCCGTTGTTGGTAGGAGATGCGGGACTCTGTGATGTTCTCCGCGCTGTAGCAGAAGTGTGCGGTGGCGACAATATGCTCGTTGAGCATCCCGTCCACTTGGAACTCTGGATCTCCGGGGTATGCATGGGCACCATCGTCACCACCACATCCCTCGGGCGTCAGATCGATGCTGAAGACTTGAACAATCACCTGGAGACCCTGTTTGCGGAACTGATTTTCGAGCGACACCGAGTAGTATTCGTGATTTCGAGGCGGGTCGAACTCGTGGTCAGATGGCCATGGCCCGAAGATCGGGTTCGCGGTCTGGCCTCTTTTCCAGTCTTCATACGTATAGGAAATCCCGGGCTCGGGGTATGAGAACCGATGCAGTCGCCTGAACTTCGCCCGGATAATCTCCGCGACGCGTGCAGGGGATGCCCACATCTCCGGCGTCATCCAAGCCAGAAGATCCTCCGTCTCAGGGGGATCCCCGGGCTCGGGTTCGAAGACACGGTACTTGGGATCCACATCAGGCAAAGTCAAATACTCTCGCACCTTGGAGCAGTGACTTTCCCATTGCTCCGGAGACCAGGCGCGTCGAGTGATCTTCTGATTCCACACGACTGGGAGAATGTCCTCCGGCGGGTCTACATCTATGGGACATTCTTCTTCTCGGTCTGTGACGCCATAGGTATAGATGCGCCGAGGCATGCGCCCGCCAGCGCCTTTGACTAGGACCTCATTCCACGGTCCTATCGCGCGAGAAATAAGAATAGGCCTGGGTATGGCTTGGGTGGAGATTGTTGATATACGAGGTGATCCGTACTGCCGTCCCCGACGGCTCCGCAAACTCCACCTCGCAAGGCAGCCATTGGAAGCGAAAGGAAACCTGTTGTAACTTGAGATTATCCTGAAGATAAAAGAGTTCTCGGGGTATCAGAGCCGTTATACTCCTGGAGGGATCCTGCACAGGTGCCGTGGCTAGTCTGGGATCGGTGGAAGGCGGATAGAACTGGGAGATTGAGCCGTCCGCCGCAGGCAGAGCAACCCGACCACCGTGGCTGAGAACTGTTGTCCGGCCATAGACCAACATGTAAAGCGACGGATCTACTAAATCGTGAATGCCACCACCCTTCCTTGTCGGCAAGAGCGGACGGAGTGCTTCTTGGAGATCATCCCCCAGAGCCTCGTCGTCGATTTTGCCTACGCCGGAGTCGGCATTGAGAACAATGACATATCCAGTGTCCCGGAGACCCTTAGCCTTATCCTGCAGTTCCGCTACGCACCAGAACCATGCCTTCGTTGTGATCAGGTCCATGTCCACGTCCTGATCTGAGTTCGAGTCAAGGCTCGCGTAAGATGAAGATGCCTGTGCACGCCACTGGGCAAGATTTTGTTCGTTAAACACATCGTGTTCCCAGTTCGGAATGTCTGTGATCCGTTCCATGAGTCGCAACATCTGGACCTCAGGTGCTGTGAGCCTGATGGCTCTTCTTGAGTAATTCTCGCGTGCTCCATGCGCAAAGCGTTGGTTGAAATCGAACTCATAGTCCAGGGGAATTCCGCTGAATCCTGGCACTCGAAGTGGACATGAGCCAGTGTTATCAAATTGCAGGGGTTGTTCTGTTCTGTCGCTCATATTTGATTATTTGGTAGCTGGAGATCGAGTTCTGCTTTGCGTTATTGCCTGTCTGTCCCCTGCTGAGCCGAGGAGGTGGAGGGGACTGAAGAAGGAACTTGAAGAGATACATCCGCCGGACTTCGAGAATATATAGGATGTTCTGTACGTAAATTACTACGGCAAGGGGGTAATCTATAACGGGTTAGCCTATTTGGGAGCCCGTTACGCAATGGCCGGCGTTGTTCCATGTTCAAGATTATCTTTTACTCATGCTCATTCCAAAGCACGTCTTTTTAGGTCTTTTTCTTTGCATCACATTTGGTCAGATATCAGAATAAATATCAGCATTAACATGCGATTCGGCCCCGACTTCGTCTTTCAATGATGGTGATGATGGCTACCGTCTTTGTGGAATTGAAGATGCTGTTTGCTAGCGGCATTAAGTGGGATCTGAGCCGAGTGAAAGGGTCAGTGAAATCACAACAAACGAGCAATCAGAGTTGGGAGAACCACTCATGCATTAGGAAGAGACCTACCATACTAGAAGTGGGTGAAGATGTTGCAGTCTTGTGAATCAGATGGGATGAAGATGACATGAGTGACGGCCGAACGCTCTGGGAAGGACTGCTCCCCTGACCGCACAAACCATAGGTGAAATTGGGATTGGGTGCTGTTGCGACCGGAGAGTGGCGAAAAAGTTCACACTGGCCACCACTGGTGAAGAGCCAGGTTCGACATGCCTGAAGTGTCGAGCATTTGTGGCCACAGTCTGCTGCATTGGTATAGTTGGAACCGAACGTCAGAGCGGTTCCACTGAAGAAGGCGATGGTATCACGAACGGAGTTGTCTAGACAAGCGGTACTTGCGATCGTAGTCGCAGCGAGAGCAAAGAGACCCAGAAAGATGGAGTGAGACAACAACATCTTGTGCTATTCAGGGCCCTCCGGTGCTTCAATGCTGAGACACATGGCCCCTTTATCTCATTTGTTACATCGCGCCGGGCATGAGGGTTCGTCGGTCATGGTAAAACCAGTCCCCTAGGAAACTACCAGAGTGACTATTCAGGGGGGTGTTTGTTGAATTCTGTTAGCACAGTAATAATCTCCGAGGTCACCGCTAGGTAGGTAACTTGTCTTGACACTTGGGCCATGATAATAGATATGCGGCATGTGCTTTCAATTAACGCAAATAACGCATTCAATGGTTTGCCGGAATGGCCTACAGATTCGGCATGGTCGCCTATCTTAGCTCAGGACAGCCGAGTCCCTGGTGGGGTGGGATAGGTGGGGTCCCAAACCACCGGCGTCCGTTCACGTTGCTGATAAGAGTTTTTTATGAGCTTGTTTTAGGTAAGAGCTCACCAGGGCCCACTGCTCGGATCTTTAGATGCCCTACTTGAAAGGCTTGTCTCTACTGAGAAAATTCGGAGATCTCGGGATTGGGTGCATCCCTGAAAGGCTTGGAATGTTGATCTTCGGTTGTCAATGCACCGCACTTCTGTATTACTTGACTTCCCCAGGGTCCTTCAACGGCTGCGAATTTCAAAGCAACTTGACTCCGCGGACAAGAGACAGGGGTTTCGTTAATTTTCCGGCAATCTCGCCACAGGCAGGCGCTAGGTAGATTTTGCCACTAGTGAGCATTTGACGAGATTGGAGGCTGCTAATGAAAGCAACGGTTCTACCACTATTGAAACTACTCCTTTTCACCGAGATCGCCTGGAATTGCGGCAATGGGATGCTATTCCGGATCCGGGCCAGAATCTTATTTACCCAACCCTAATTTACTTAATAGTAGGATGCATTACCTCGCGATAAGACCCTTACAGTCGGGGTCTTTCGCGTTGTACCCCACCGTGGACTCTGTATACTAGACTGGATCTGTAAGGCCTACCGAGCACTACTAGGACTATGCCAGCACTCATGTCCGCAAATCAATCCAGGCACAGATTGGGCCGAAATTGAGAGATTACCCCTATTCTACGGGGGAAAAGAACAGCTAGCCGGTCTTGGATGAACAGTACGGTTTCTCAGCACTAGCTACAGCCTAGCACACCCTGACTTCTGGCGATTAAGGTACCCTACACTACCACCCATTTCAGCCCGATCTAGCCTTTGAGCTGGGGATTTTGGTTTCTACAAATCCTCGCGATGTTTGAGTGTTGAACTTGATTCCACTATTATTTTCCACCAATTACCTACGTACACTGCCAAGAGTCTCGGTCAACGGACATCGAAAAGTTCATATCATTTACCCTTCGCCCTCTCCTTCAGTTTTTCATGACTATGGTCGAGGTCGCCGACAAGGCGTCGGCGGAGGAGAAGAAGGCCATGATCGAGGAGATCATCTTTGGCGTCCTCATGATTGTCCCCTTCTTGGGAGAGGTCCGGCTCATTTCGGACGGGCTGGAGCAGCTGGCCGACATGATGTCGCTCATTGGGGACGCGGGCGCCTTGGGCAGTACGATCTACGGGGTAGTCACCGACCCGGACTCGGCGATCTTGGATATCTTCGAGCTCGCCTTAGGGGGCGGGGTCCGGACCCCGGACGAGTTCGAAAAAGCCGCCAATGCCCGTCGCGGGTTGACTGACGACGAGGTTATCAGTCTGGGATCGGACTGGAAATCCTGGAGTGATGACCTCTCCGAGGTGCAGTCGGTGTGCTACTAAGGGCTGGCCGGATCCGGAGATGGGTACATCTCGCAGAGATGTTACGTCGGATGTACAGTGCGTACATTTCTTGATCTATGGCATACCAATGAATATTTTGATTTTCTCCAACACTGAGGGAGGCGTATCTTCCTTGACCTACTCTCTCCACAATTTTTGCTTTGTCTCCCTCTCTCTTCCAATCGAGATTCATCACTCCATGCTCCAGCAATCTTCGGCCATGGGGTCTCAAAGTAACCGACTCAGCCGCCGGCAGTCGCTGGGTGAGCAGATAGGCCATTACCTGATATCCTGCTGAGGAGAAGGCAAGCATGCTTTCCACTGCTTGGCAGCTTGCTTTGTTGTATCGAGAAGCAAGGTGTCTTTTGAGACTGCGATGAAATGTACCATTCAAATCTTCAAGGTTCTTTTGCCACATTAGTATTAAACTGTAGGTTAATGTTTTATCACCCCGATTCGAGTTCTCTCGGCTTCCAGCAACAGCGATGATGGTGGTTTGGGGTTCTGGTCCATGGGGGAACACTTTCAAAATTCTAGGTCCGGATTTTGTTTCTGTTCATTGATAACATTGACAGGGCTATGCCACCTTCTCATGTGTAGCTTGTTCTTAATTTTTAGAAATTGAACTGTATTTTACTCGTGCTCTTAATAATAGAAGAAAAAAGAATATGTAAACTTCATACTTTTATTGCAATGTTCATTCTAAGTTTCGGCTTATCACTGAGATTTTAATGTCAACTTCTTTAAATACTCGGATGTTGATATCTGCATAGTCTTGTTACTATGTACACTATATATCAAATCTATCTCTCTACAATGGATACAGAGTCGGTCCAATATGGCTAGTCCTTTTTCCTGGTATTCATAAATGTACAGTACACATAGCATCTGCAAGGGACGAATCCCACAAGTATGTTTCCGAGACTGACACTAGGTTTCACATCAGAAACGACGACAGCCAGCCAAACTGAGAACAAAGATAGCACTGGTGGTTAAATCTACAGCACGTGACGCAGCGGTACCTTTTCGACGACAAAAAAAATGCCCGCAAGATGGAACCCTAACTGGTTCTGCGAGCCCAGGTTTTCTTTCACCGCGGCCCTGATTGCGGTGGGTGAGATTACGAGACGAAGAATGCAGTCCTTGTAGCTAGGATCATGGACTCCAATTCTGGCTTCCAAAAGTTCAGTAAGAATCAAGAATCACAAATAAAAGCACTGCCGCCGGCGCTCATCGAGACGCATCTTCCTGAATTTTCAACTCCCCAACCGGCTCACTTGTCAAGCAAAGCTGTTTGGTCTTTCACTATGGGTGATAAACCTGGGAACCCCGATGTTGATGTAGAGGCTGAGGTGATCAGATTCCAGGCCGAGCAAGATCACGCAGCGATTACCTTTTTGTTCAGGAAACGAGTCTTCCATCTTGCCATCGTCCGCTCCGCGATCCCGGACAGCGTTGCCAGACTCGATATTGTGCGACAGCTATGGTCGGACACCCCGTGCAAGGGCGACACGATCCGCAATCTGACCTTCGATTGCCGGCCAATTTTCCGCATCAGTGGGGCACAGGCCTCGACGATCCTCGCATCTCATCTGGTATCCATGCAGGTGTCGTCCCATGCCGGCCGCGCGCATGGCATCGATCTCGGCGACCGGCGATCCCTCACCAGTAGTCCTACACGGATCGAGCTGGCGGAGCAAGGAAGGCTGAGCTCTGTGCCCCGATTCACGCTGTCGGCGGCGGAGGTCGTGGAGGTGATTGAAGCAGGCTGGCAGTATTGAGTCAAAATCAGCCAGCGGGTTTATATCTACTGCATCCAGGACAACCCAAAGTTCTGGAACCCCAGCAACTAGGCGCGGTGGGTGCGCGATGCAGCCATCCACGAGGTGCAGGGAGTCATGGGTCTGGACACGCCGTTTCCGGGGATTTTGTTCCCTGACCGTCCGGAAAACGTGCTGCCCGACGATGTGCGGCGGCGACCCAAACCTCTCTCCTACCCTTGGTCGACCGGGCTGCGGTAGATCGAGCCCCCCAGCCCCTTGTTCAAGTCGACCTGGCGCGCAAAATGGGTCTTCCCCTGTGGAGACGACCTCATCTTCCGATTCAACGTGCTGTGGACCCGTCCGCACTACGAGCATCCCTACGAGGCCAGTATCCATGTCCCACTCGTGCGCCCACCCCCGGACTCGCAGTCCAGTGGGACTTTTGCCCACCTGATCTTCGAGTCTCGAGACCGGCTGGTGAATCAGCCACAGACCAGCCCGATGCGCTGGCGCGTGGCGGAGGAACAGTGGAGCGAGATGATCGCCCGGATCGGTGAGTATCACTTCGACATGATGATGACGATGACCTCGCACCTCCCCAACCACTTCGAGCGCCTGCGGTCCCAATTCATCCCTATCCGTCTCGGTCGCCCCAATCGGACCCCGGTTCCTTCACCTGACGTGAGTGTTGGCGCTCCTGCCAGCGACAACACCGCCACCGCCACCAGCAGCAACAACTACACGGACGACCCCGTCACATGGCCCATGCTCCCGCCCTCAGCCCAAGCCCGCCTCCGCCACCTGCCCCAGTACGACACCTCAGCAGTCCGCATCAACTTCGTAGTCCGAGCCGGAACGTACTACAACATCACCATCGACGGGGTGGAGATGATGTGCGACTTCCTGGACTGGCCCCAGCGGCTGGACGAGTGGGTGACCGGGGTGGAACGGCTGGAGCGCGCCAGCTCCATGGCAGGTTCTTTCCACCCCTCGGTGCGCTGCCCGCAGCTGCTGGGGGTTTTTGGATCTGAACGGGCCCTTCCCCGCGGTCCTGACGGCCTACATACCCAGTACCCTGCGATTGCCAGACATAAGACATTAGGAGACAACGCTCGACCAGCGACGCGGGTGGTACCGGCAGCTCCGCGAGGCGGTCCGGTCCCTGCGGCGGCGCGGCGAGCTCTGGCCCGGCGAGCTGCACAATGTCCTCATCGATGAGCCAAGTGGGAGCCTCTGGCTTCTGCGGTTCGCGCCCTGCGCGCCGCCGCGCTTACTTCTGGATGTGCAAGTCTTGCGGGGAGCGCGCGAGTTGTTGGGGCTCGCGGAGTTGGAGCCGGAACCCGTTTTGGGAGAGGGTCTGGATGCACTATGATGACCGCTATTGTTAGAAAATAGGAAAACTTGACGTGCATGCCAAACCATGACCACGCGCATTTGTTATTGAGAAGGGAAGATGAGCAAAAGGGGTGGTGGAAAGAAAGAAAGAAAAACAAGGCATAGAAAAGGTTTTGCTTGAGTGATTTCAGTCTACTAGAACTAATTCCCAAGGCGTTTGACTTTTGGCGAATAGAAATCTGTTTTTCTTTCTGACTTATTTGCTACCTTTTTGAAGCATAGTAGTGGAAATTGACATGAACATAGTTCTAATTAAATCCCGAAATCTGGCCTCAACACTCAACATACACAGAACCACAAAAGATAAGAGAAGAAAACCCCGAAAACGACATTGGAGGATAAATTGCCCAGCCAGCTCATGAATCACCAGCAGATTTGATGGAAAAGCTCTTGCGCCGGTCCCATAGCTAGTATTGTACCTAGTACAGTACCTAAGAATGCCTTGCTGCACTGCTTCCAGCATTGGTAACGGCACCTTCTGCGGTGAGGCTTGGTTTTCCAGCGGTATAACAATGGAATCTGCAGCGTTTCCAGGCATCGGGTTTGAAGTACCGCAAGCACCGCCCAGCTTAATCCCAGCCAAGCAAGGAGGGCCCATGTTGAGGCTGCTCTTGCAACGAAAGTCGGCTAAACTCGCGACGCACCACCTCCTCTGGTTCCCCGGAACCGGAGGAGGCGGCTGTGCTGCTCGACTGCAGCAAGAAGCCATTGGTATTGGGCGCACCGAAGCAGGAGGGACCGCCTGTACCGGGCGATGAGAAGCTGAAGCCGCCGGCCGCGCCCATCACCCACTGGCGGTCACAGAAGCCGCGCGCGTTGACACTATAGGAGCCGGAGAAGGTGTTCATTTCCGCGGACGCCGAGCCATAGGGGGTGGTGCCCGTCAGCCGAAGCGCCCCGGCCCGGTTCGCGCTGGCGGTCACCATGCCTCCATATCCGTTCCAGTTGGTAGTCTGCATGTCACCCATCCGGTTCGCGTAGGCCATGACCGAGCCACCGAGCGGGTTCCGACTGGTCAGCCCCATCTCACCCTGAATGCTTGCCGCAACCGTCGTCCGCGGACAGCGCAAGCCCGCCGCGGCCGTCCACCCTGAGATGATAGGCGCCGCCCGAGCGATGGGGTATTGTCGCCTCCCACTCGCCGAGGATGAACGGTGTCGATGCCGGTGGCCGATGGAAGGGGTTGAGGTCCGATCGCATTTGCCAATCTCCCGGACGTGCCTGGCCGGAGCTGACGGACCCGTTGACGCCAAACTGTTCCGGTATGCCCGACGGATTCGAGCCCCAACTCATCGCTGCGGTGGCGACGGCGCTGAGATATTTTTGACACGGGGTAGTTTCGATATGAGGGTTGAGGTTCAGCCGGGGGGGGAGGGACGTCTCTGAGTAAAATGGAGAGACACAGTAAGGCAGATGGTGAAGAGGAGAGAGATTTTAGGATAGGCCAGGTACAAGAGAGCTCAGCGAAAGCCGGCTGGTGCGGTGTTTGTGAAAGGTTGAAGTGTAATGTGGTTTGACAGTGCTGGATCGCTGGCTCCCTTATATGTTGTGCTCGTGGGTACCGTCTACAAGGCAGGATGGGCATGCAACTCTCTGTTCCATGACTGGAGATGTTTTCTTCACCGCTAGATAGCAAACTCATTGCTCTACAGGAAGTGAAATCGGCGGGATCTTGGTCTTGTCTCTGGATATCCTTTCAGCATCAGACATAGTTTATGGCGTTAGCCTCTTGGCTGTATCACTCCTCGTAGAGCTTTTTGACTATCGGAGTTACAACTCACAACGGCGTAAACATCGGCAACTGCAGTTGGATACAGAGTCTGTGCCAGTTCTCTCCTGTGCAGCGCCAGCGTCTTGCCGACCATGCGATACACGGAGAGCCGAAGATATTTGATGTGGTGATGAGGGAAAGGAGCCTCCTGGCGCCGCACTTCGCCTGATTTCTGTCTTAATAAAGTATCCTGCTTTCTTTGTCCTCCTCGTGTTTTTCGCTCCGTGTCTCGGTTCTTCTCCTCTGTTGTCACAGACCTGGCTCTCGTACTGAGACACGTGATCATCAAAGCCCCGAAACACGGGATGGAGGAGAGATCACCTGCCAAGACGAACACCCTCCGCTGTCTTGGATTGAAATTTCTCTCAGCTCATTGAGGTATACCCTGAGTAGCACCTGCAGCGCGTGATCATGGTCAGATTCAAGGCTTTTGACGGTGTTTGGGGCTGTGCATAAGGCCTCAGACATGGCAATCCCACTTCGCATTCTCCTGGCCAGACATCCAGCTCCTATTCACATGATCCAGCCAGTCTACTGTTTTAGCCACGCCCTTTAAGTGGCCCGCGAGAATCCGAAACCGGTGGTATTATTTTGGCCGCCGCAGTCGCTCTCTTCCTGTGCTGGACAAGAAGCATTGGGTCTTCCTTTCCCTCCCTTTCCCTGGGCCTCTACCATTACCTACTGCAGACAGTTTTAGCCAAACCATAGACTAGTTAGAGGGGGAAACGGAACCTAGGTGGTCTGTAAATGTTATTAATGTCAGGTGGGCGTCTCAACAGGGCCTTGGAAAGGCCAAAGATACGGCGGAAGCAGTGCCGAGCTTCTTTGCTGCTCCAGCCGGATGCTGGCATCCAGGGGACATATACCCGTTCAGCGGTGGCTTGCCAAAAGTAGAGGCATTCTTTTAACGGAGATTCACAAGGCTTCTTTCCTCCTGTCCATCATTATGGTAATTAGCGTTCATCCCATTACGATGCTACTATATACATGTAAGTACCTGACTAGGCTTACTAACCAATCCTTAAGCGCTTAAATGAGGGGCTAAATGTATGATACGGAAGTATCATGCACTCTGTCCTACCTCACCCCCCTTCTTCAGCAACCTCATCAAGCAACCCATTACATAGAAAGACCACCTCCTCCAGCTGCAGAGTACGCCACCATGCCCTCCGACCTCCTCAAGCCACTGGCCGTATTCGCCCGCCAGCCTCTGTCGCAACGCTACATCAAAGCCATCAGAAACCTGGGAGATGCATGGCGTCGCCTCGTCGACGAGCCTCTCTCTGAGTCAGATACCAAGTCCACCCTCGTGGAAACCAACTTCGACCTGGTCCTCACGATCAAGAGTGCACAGGAAGCTCAGTCGTCCCTGTCGAATCCCATGGTCGTCGAGATGTCCACTCGCGAGCCTCTGGCTGCGCCACCCGAGGACACCACTACATCAGGATCTCCGCCCCGCCACTACCGCATCTTCGCCGACTGGGGCACGGATTTCATCTGGCGCGATTTCGACGACCTGCGGGGTGACGAAGGCGACTGCGTGCTGGAGGCGGACGAAGTACTCAGCTCCCCCGTCTACCCTCCATCCGTGTTCGAGCACTACGATGCGTGGGTGGAGACGCAAACCGAGAACTTCGACCAACGACTCAACAAGACCGGCGACTTCCATGCCTCCACGTTTGCCACCGTCGCGGAAGAAGTGGCCTGGAATGTGGCGGGGTATCTGCTGGCTTGGCGCATTGCCATGGCGCCGGACGTCGGGAGGATCGAGTTCAGCGCGGGCGTGTCGAAGTATATGCTCGAAAAAGGGAATGAGACGAGCGTGACGCTGTCTTTTCTGCGGGATCAGGCTGAGCTCTTAGCGAAGGGAGAGTCGGTAGCATAGCGAACTGAATGTTCTAGGCGGCGGACATTGTTTATTGCGATCTTTCACGTGCGAATGTAATGATAACCGGCATGCATGCTTTCTCGAGGGAAGGGTCTTGGTTGCTTCGGGACGCTACAACAGGCAGTATTTTCTTATTGTTTTGTGTGTTGTTTTTAGCTACTTGGTACCAGGATGGGACGAAACATGCACCGACTACATATTCTGGCCCAGTCACATCGAAATAGCAGGGGTCTTTGTCTTTTGCTTCTCTACTAAAGCTCGTTTTCTGCTCACTTACCTGGTTGTCGGATTTATCGACCAAAGACTACTTGTTCATCGTCCTCCTCTCTCGCTTATAATTGTAAGCATTTCTTGATATGCCCAAATTTCCACCACGGCGATAAATATGACATCACTCGATGACGGTACAACTAGACTAGTTAGCCACCGGATCATAAGCTGGGCTTTGAATATACCGGCTGCACTCTGTCTTACAGAGAGATAAGGGCACCAGGCCGAGAGAACCAAGACAAAACAAAGCAAAAAGAAATGACGTCCTAGGAGAGGATCGAACTCTCAACCTCACGATTAACAGTCGTACGCGCTAACCAATTGCGCCACCAAGACGTGCTTGATGTATTCTCCTGGGTCTGCTGTGCTTATATTCCTCTCCTAAGTCTAGGCTATAATTCCAGCACAATTGAGAATTCCGTGGCCGCTACGCCTACACATTCTGTGTATTCAATGGCTCAAGTAGCCATGAAACCCGACCCCACAACTCACTTCATCTATTCTCTTGCATCATTACTGAACTACCCTTGTGCGAAAGTAGCACGCTAAAATCGACCACATGCTTCAGCCATACTCTCCGTCAGGGACCGAATCATAGTATATCTCAGTGTTCCCCCAATCTACTTGTACCAATCCCCTACCCTTACTCCCCAAAAAACATCAAACCCTCTACCCCCCTCACCATAGCTATACCCATAACCCCTATCAAAACCACCCTCCCCAGCCCAACACATAGAGCAACCCCTCCGACCCAAGCACAAGCCTGAAATTGGGGTATCACAACCCCCCCCCCTCGGAGGTCACCGCTCAAACACCCCCGACCCCCGATGTGGAGCCCACCCTATCTTCCTGCCCACCAATCACGCAAAGCCTCAACGCCCCACTTACAGCTCCGTTGCCCTTAAAATTCTTTAAAATTCCTAGATTCTCATGAAGGATTACGTGGATCCCTAACCTCCAAGCGGAGGTGGTTCCTGCCGATCGGTGGTGAGGGGTTACGCATTTGAAGGGATTTGTTTCTGATTCTGTTGGGGCTGGGATTTAGTGACATGCAATTATAGATTCGAACTCTTTCTTTTTGTCGCTTGGTGGCGTGAAGGGCGCTTGAGGTCGAGTGCCTGGGGCCGCACCCTGATTGGGCCTGGAGCTTTACTCTGGGGATTTTCGGGATTTCATGGGAATTGTTATGAAATGAGATGGTCTGGGTGTGCCGTGGAGGTTCTTGGCAGTGACGTGTGCTCTGCGTCTTTTCGGGGAAATTGAGGGAGGCCAAGATAGGTCTCGGTGTCGGGGGGGCGGGCGACGTTTGGTGGTGGGGGGTCTATGAGGCATGGGTTGTGCTTGGCAGGCTTTCAGTCTTGGTTGTTTTTAGTGCACGATAGAATGGTCTTGTAAGACTCCTTTGTGGAGGTGTTTGTCAGATGGTACAGATAAGAGTGATTGATAAGGCTAAAGTATAAAGCTAATACTAGGGTACAGGGTGGCTAGAAGCGGAAGAGCTCTTATCGAGTAGTCACGGCGACGAAAGTATGGGGTTAGGCAAGGCCAGCTCAGTAGACCGGAAGCTTGAAAGCAGGGAACTCGTAGGTCCACGAGTCGATGGACTTCTGGTCGTGGACGCAGGAGAAGCTGCTGTTGCTGGACCAGAGCGGGCGGGTGGGCCACTGGCAGAGCATCTGGGTCTCGCCGGCGTAGGAGCCGGAGGAGACGGTGGCGTTGAGACGGGAGGGCTTGACGCCGTTCTCGACCCAGTTGATCATGATCTCCATGTTGTCCTCGGGGTAGGGGCCGGGCTGGAGGGAGTTGGTGCCGCAGTGGGCGGCGCCGGGGATCAGGTAGAACTGGTACCAGTCGGCCATCTTCTGGAGCGACTCCTGGTAGCTGAGGTCGCCGTACATGATGGAGCGGACGGATTGCCAGTAGTGCACGGAGGAGGCGGCGGGAATCGAGGGGTCGGACTCGCCGTGGTAGTGCAGCAGCTTGCCGCCCGAGGACTCGAACTCGGTCAGGTCGGGCACCGTCGTCTGCAGGCTGTCGATGTAGCGAATCATGCCCGTGTTCATCCAGCCGACCAGCGTGTCGTAGGTGACGTTGTCGAGGTTGGACAGGTTGTCGATGTTAAGAAGCTGCACGAACTTGGTCACGTACTCGCCGCCGGTGGACGGGATGTCGAGCTCCCACGCGCCGGTGTCGGAGTTATACTCGGTCGTCGCGTCCGACAGCTCGGAGCCGATCTGCCACGACAGGTAGGCACGCTCGCCCTGGCTGTTGTGCAGGCCGTCGTAGATCGCCTGGGCGAGCTTGACGCCCTCCGCGGTCACGGTGCCGTTCTGCGCGGGCTGGTAGCTGGTCGAGCTGCCTTCAGCCCGCTTGCTGAAGCCGAAGCCCAGGGAGGTGTAGTTCTGCTCGGCGCAGTAGTAGGACTCGCCAATCACAGAGGTCAGGTTGAAGTTCAGCATGCAGAGGTCGGTACGCGAGATGACACCGTCGGTACGGCCGTCCAGAGGGTCGCAGGCCTCGATGGTGGCGTTGACGATCTTGTCGAGCATGCACGGCTCGGGGTAATAGTCCATGGTGTGCTCGACGGCCGAGGAGAAGACGTGGTGGACCTGCTGCTGAGCGAAACGGAAGGCTGTTGGGAAAAGGTTAGGGATCGATGCGCTCTGATTGTAGAAGTCTGTCAGGGTTTGGCTTACCGGGAGCTCCAGTGATGGCACCATCATACTCGGATCCCCAGCGTTGAACCTGGCTCATACCCTCACGACCACCGTCGGAGCAGCCCTCGTAGTAAGTGTAGATCTTCTTGTCGCTGTCCAGACCATAGAAGCCCCGGGCAAGGGGCTTGGCAATCTGGGTCATTTCACCCAAGGCCTGGTAACCAAACATGTAGGTGGCATCCCAGTTGATGGAGCCGTTGCCGTACAACACGACCTCATCGTAGCTGTAGGAGAAAGCGTCGTAGCCGGCATCAGTGGCACCTTGATCACGTTAGATAATGTCTTAATGGTCAGGATTGTTGTTCATGACAGCTTACCTGAGGCAGCGCCGTACTCGAGACCGCCAGTTGCGTCGCTGGAGAGCGAGAAGCCACCGCCACCAGCAACGTAAAAGCGGCTCTTGAACTCAGACGGGCTGGGGAAGGCATACTTGAGAACGACCTTGTCGCCCTTGCCGGTGTGGGTGTAAGCGACAGTCACGTTACAGTAAGTGTAGCTGTCCGCCCGCTTCATGCCGCCGCCCATGCCGCCGCTGGAGGTGGTGACACCCGCGGTGACGGACGAGGGGATCATGTTGATGCCCAGAAGGGTGCCATTGGAAGGCAGAGCAGACTGCACGTTGGACACGGTACACAGATCAGAGAGCGAAGTGGCATTGGCCGTTGCGGCTGCCAGAGCAGCAACAGCTGCACGGGAATACTTGCCCATGGTAGGCAGCTGAAATGACTGGATTGGTTGGTAGACTCAAGAAAAGAATGGATGAGGCTGGATGGTAAACAGGTCGACTTGAGGAGGCACATGGCTTCTATTTAAGCAAATGCGGCCTCAAGTATGAGGCACTGCATGGTCGAAGAGCATCCATGGATAGTCGGCCCATAATTGGAACGGAGGCGGGAAGCATGTTTGGGCCCACTTGTGTTTGACGTCCCTGCCCGGTTCCCTTCATCCCTCGTCACCCGCTTGCGTGGCCCTCCCCAGCACTTAGGGTCTAAGGGTTCCCTGATCAAACTGATGTTGAGTCTGCTACTGCTTCAGCCTTAGTTCACTGCCAAGCGAACAGCACCTCTAGCGCATTGCAGTGATGGAAAGTGCTGGAGTAATTTCGCAGTTTTTGCCTCCTCGCCGTGCGGTCTTGGGATATGACCCACCAGGCTGGGAGTTCAACATGAGTCCCATTATGGGATGACTAGAGCGTAGACCAGATAGCTGCGTGCCCAACATTTCCAAAATTGGTTCTGATGGCACCAAACTTGATGGTGTTCTGCTAGGATGCTAGGGCGGGAATAAGCTTATCCGCAGGCCCCACTGATGACCGATCTGGGATGCTTGGCACAGGCTTGGCGCTGGATTAGGGTCTCCCGAGCCACTTTGTATGCCCTGGACAAGTTTCTTCATCCTGCAGCCTAGTTATCCGCCGGGCTGAATACTGCTTCGGTGGCGAGATCCCTTGCCCCCTTGCAAAGATCGAGGGATGCAAGCCTTGAGCGTCATCTGCAAGCGCAGGTGATAAGGCTTCCCCACGTTCTACTATGCAAATGGAATCCCCAGCTCGGCTGTCAAAATAGTCATTCTCATCATTGTCAGCGCAGAATCATGAAAAGCCCAGCCACCGGCTTCCATGCAATCAGTACTAAGCTTTCTACGCTGCGAGTCAATCTCGCTTATGCATGCAGAGCAAGTGGCTTCGTCAGCTCTTCCATGGTCAACCCAACCGATGCATGTGTATGAGTTCTGTCTCATCTATCTGAGGATTAGGCTTGTGCCAGAGCTAACCCGTAGACAACGACCTTTAACGTTAGTCTGCCTGCTGGACTCTCGCTAAGTCTTGGCTAGCTGGTTCGAAAAGTGAGCAGCGCCGCTGTCGCCGACACGAGGATGTGAAGCCTGGGCGCCGTGTGTGCCTGCCAAGCTGCTAAGATACGCAGTTGCGAAGATCGTCATCTCAACATTATCCAGAAGATGAACTTAACGTTCGGAATAGAGTGTACTGATCCCTCTTTGGGGGGTCCTTTGCCCGGAGATCCACCGCGAGAAAGAACCTTTTGCTCCCGTCCGGCTCTAGCGCGCCGTCCTGTCTTCACCTGTCTGCCTAAACACCACCACGTTCGCCAGCGCTTACCTTTACACGAGAGAATGATTACACAGAGGATTAAGAGAGTGTAGACAGCCTTTGATATCATCAAGATGGGTTACATGAAGGTCCAGGTGCCATGTCGAGGCTGTTCCAAGGCCTTGGTCCTGAGGGTGACGCGTCAGACCGTAAGGGACATCATTACGCACGTATCGTACCTTTCAGGAACCTTGCGGATAAGGCGGTGGTAAGCTGCAGGCTAGAACTAAAGTACCCGGTGTGCCGTCACTTCAACGGGGCCTCAGGTGGGTCGGCCTTGCCGGCGAGGGGGTGTCTGATGGAGTTTTCGATTACGTACTGTTGTGGACTTTCTGGGGGATGTAGTGTGCAGCCATCTTATCTCTAGATTATCGGGTGGCAAATTGCAGAAGATAAGTCGAGTGCGGTGACTGTAAGATCATGGTTGCTGGGTGAGGTTGACCGTTGGATATTCAAGCAGCCCGTCGCTATGATGACTCCCCAAGAAACAGCAAGAGACGTAATGGAGAGTGGCTGTTGATGTTGCGAACTCAACGGAAACTCTGTCGTATGCTTCAAATAGACAAACCATCACTTCTCCGTGTTTTGGGGATGGCTGGAGCAATGGATCTCGGGCCGTCTGGAATCTGACTCGTATGGCTCCATGATATGGAACATGGCTCGGAGCACTCGTGGAGCGTCATAAATGCCTCACGTGGGGTGGCCGGGGGCTCCCATACGCTGCGAACACTGCTGGTAGCGCATCATCACTTCTACTGAATGTGTCTTTTTTTACTGTTTGCGTTGTGAGCCAGCTCATTCTAACGAGGAGGGCGCTATCGTGGACCTCAACTTGAGCACTTTCGATTTCGACTTTGAACTGTCTTCAAAAATAGAGCCCAACAATCCACGTCTGCTGCTGTCTGCAACACCGTCAACATAGCCTCAGCAGGACGAACCCAGTCACCTTCTCCACGGCGGTAGATCATCAAACAAGTTCAACCAGACTAATTTTTTCCATAGTTTCCCTGGTTTCTAGATCCGTATCATATTCACATCAGTCAGCGGCCACTCAAAGCTCTTCTGATTGGCTGCTGGACATGCACCAGGCCTAATATGGACCTAGCGCCAGGGTTCTTGCCGCTGACTAACCGACTGCTCCCTTTGCTGCCTTGACACCTGATCCTTCGACGGCTGTTCAACGTCCTGGTCTATGATCTGGAGCATACGCGTCCTGGTGCTCCTCAATTTACATTTGCAATGAGAAAGAAACCTTCTGTTTTGCGATAAGATGAGCAGCAACGCTAGGTGCCCGGGTCTCGAGGTTCCGTTCTACCCGTGGCTCATTCCGAACATATCGATCAGGCGACGAGCCTAGGTAGGAAACCACTGCTGTTGTTCTGAGTATCGCAAGGAAGAGTTGGTGAAGACTTATCTCTCAGAGCTTCGCTCGCAGTGTTGTACATTATCTTTCACGCTACGCAGATGCAGTTGCAGGGGTCTGATGCTGGCATTCCCCCCCCCGCTTTACTGATGTACACTGCAATGCTGGTGAAGAGTGACCCCGACGGGGGAGTTAGACACCGCCAGATATCTGCTTTTCTTCTTACATACCGAGTGAGAGAATGACTAAGCTCTAGTTCGGTTGATAGAAATCTCACGACCATGTTGCTCAAGCTTCTATCATCAAGCAGTACCCCAAAAACGAAAGAGTGCGTCGCACCTCTAGTGCCTCCCCGTGGCCCTCAACAAATTCAACACCAGCTAGGGTTATCATCGACTTACAACCCAGTCTCAACTGCGTATAAACACCGAACCTCTACCACCCCACGACTCTCACACACCAACCACCCCCACCGAAACCAAAGAAACCCAGCAAAAAAACAAAATGAACAACCAGAACCCACAAGCCCCCCCTCATCAGAACTAACGAACTACCTAACAAACCCCAGCCAAAGCCCGCACCCCCCTCTCCCGAAACAACAACCCCGCCCCAGCCTTGGGCACAATCGCCGAGCGCCAGTAAAAATACCTCCGCTCGTCTTTGGCCGTCTCCACCATCTTCACCTCATACCGCAGCAGGATCTGCGCGAGCACCAGCTTCAGAAGCACCGACGCATAATACCGTCCGGGACAGGCGCGTTTGCCCAGCCCCCAGATGGGGAAGGTGACGTCTGCGTCTGTGAAATCGGAGGATGTTGTTCGTGTCGTCGGGTTCCGGGTGTCTTCGTTGGCCTTCGCGGGATCTTGGGGGATGATGAAGCGGTAAGGGTTGAAGGTGTGCGGATCGGCGTAGAGATCTGGGTCGCGGAGGATGGGCTGCAGCGGGATGCAGGCGACGTCGTTCTTTGCTAGGGTGGTTCCGTCGGCCAAGGTGAATGGTTGGAGGACTTTGCGGCGCAGGGAGATGGAATCGGTTGGGTGCAGGCGGGCGGATTCTTTGAGGAAGCTGGTGAGGAGGGGGAGGTGGTTGGGGTTGATTTCTGGTTGTTGGGGGGTGGTGGTGGTGATGGTGATGGTGGTTGGTTGGGGCATAGCGGCGCGGACGACCTCGTCGCGTAGCGCAGACGTGAACTCGGGATGCAGGCAGAGGTCGTCTAGGGCGTAGAAGAGACACATGGCTGGTTGGTGGACGGAGGCAAACCACACGCCTAGCAGGACCTGGATGATGCGCTGGGCCGGCCATTCGTGTTGCTGGTTCTTGCGCGCGGCTGCGTTGACGAAGAATTGGATGCAGTCTGCATGTTCCGGGGCAGTGGTGGTGCTGGTGGTGCTGCTGCTGGTTTTGCGGATCCGCGCCTCGACGACGGGGGTGAGGCGGTCGAGCAAGATCTTCAGCGCTCGGTGGCGGCGCATTAGATATGGCGCTGCAAAGGGCGCGACCCACGCGGGGAGCAGGCGCAGCGCTTCGGCGGTTTCCATGAGGTGTTCGGGGTACTCGAGCGCGGCGTCGAGGAAGACCTGGTCGCTTGAGACCTCGGGCCCGAAGAAGACCAAGGCGTTGGCAGCGGTGATCAGTCGCTTGGCCATCGGGAAGATTGGCACTGCGCGCCATTCCCCGGACTGGGGCTTGTGGGCTGTGATCTCTGCAGTGAGCGCTTGGGCTATGCAGTCGTGCAACGGCTGGGTTAGGGCTGGCAGGTGGGATCGCAGCTCCGCTTGCAGGGCTCGCTGGTGGACGGTCCCGTTGGCGCTCATGCAGTCGTCGTATTCGAGGCCGTTCATGGTATACTTGGGCTGGAACATCTGTTCTTGTTGAGATGAGAATTAGAAAGAGGAGGCTTGATCAACTCAAAAGCAAGGAAGAAAGTCGGATAGCGACGTACATCTTTCGCCAGAGCATGTAGGGACAGGTACGTGTCTGGCGCCTGCACCAATTGCTTGATGTGCTCCCTGGAGGAGAATTGGACTTGATATCCTTCTGGTGTGCGCACGGCATAGGGGCTATCTTTGATCTGCGCGCTGCAGTCTTAGCATTTTCTGCGCCGTTTCCTCTGGGCTCAACCACTTACGTGTGCCTTCTGCACAATCTCCGGTCCCTTCAAAAGGTATTGAAGCTGGTCAACAACCCAGAGGAAATAGCTGGAAGGCTCGACAAGAACAACATTATGACGTGTCTAAGGGGTTAGATTAGCGATTTTCCTCTCTCGTCGTCGGCGACCGATGCACAGTACCGATTCTTGGGACTTGGACTTGGCTCTTAATCTGCGAACACACAACCAGCAGCAGAGCAGGAGGAGGAGCACGCTCCCGAGAGAAGCAACTCCCATATTCGTCGAAATAATCGAGAACAGCATGCCGAATCCGAGACAATTGTGTATAGCTACAAAACCACGAGAGGGGAAAGCGGCATCACCCCGCGAAGGGTACTTACGATTACAAAAAAGGGAACGCCCCCTCCGCTACTGCTCACTCACTATCTATCATATGCCTTGAACCTGGCCTGATAACGGCCGTCGCTACTGCGGGGTATACGCCTCTAATTATTTCCAGCTCCAAAAAAAGTACGAGTAGCGAATACTACGCTTATGAATGCAAAGCCCTAGATGGGTAGGAGCAAAGTGAACCGTGGACAAGCTATCATCCTCCCGTCCGGAATCAATGCCAAGTTTGGCACGGGGCCAGCACGTTCTGCAGGGGTCGGGAAGTCAATGGCTCACCGGCTCTGGTAAGCGCTTAAGGCACCCTACGCTAAATTCCAACGTGCAGAAAATACGAGGCTCAGGATTTAACTTAAGTAAGTGCTGGACTACCCCGCTCGGGGGGGTTTATTCTCATTCGCGATCGTGGGGAGATGCACGCACATGGCAGAACATCGAACATCTTGATTGGCGCCAAGCAATAACACCAGAAACGGCCACTCTCTCGTGATCACTATAATTGGACGGGCCCTTATGGTCTCTCAGCCGCATCACAAGCAGGATTTTATGTCAAAGAGATAAGGCTAGTCGCCCTCGCCCGTGGCGGCGGAATAGTCCGCGTATATTGGCTGTGTTATGGTGGTGCGCGGCCACCTCGATGTGGCGAAAGAGAGAGGGGACGGAGATACCGGCTGCGCCGTTGGGTTGACGACCTAGGTAGTATGTACTGTACTTTCGAATCCCTATCCTGGTCTGCACGCCAAGGACGTAAGTCGCAATGTGATAGCGCAGCAGTAGCGTGCATCCTTATCAGGAAAACCGGCTGCTCGATATAAGGGTACTCCTCTAAGAGGATTAGGAGGGGTATGTATCCTCACCCTCCTACCTTTTACATCTGTCTCAGTACCATCTACATCATGCTGTCTGTACTTACCGATTTTGGGTTTATCCAGGATCAATTGAGCCTGTCCCATCTGGTCGGAGGTGGTGTCGTCCTTCTCGTGATCTGGCGTCTGTGGCGGTTCACCGTTCGTCCGTTGCTCAACCCTGACTCGCCGCGAGAGGTTCCCTATCTGATTCCAAGTGAGTGCTGTACATGACAGATTGGCCGCTGCCTCGATTGCTGACCAAGGGAAATAGTTGTTGGTACGGTTGGTTCGCTCGGACCCTTTCTTGACGGCGCTAATGACTCGGCGAAAAAGGCCATGCAGTCCCCATGCTAAGGAGCCCCCATGCGTTACTATCATCCGCGATGTGAGTTGTCCATTCCAACCTTAGCATTGTATTTAGCATTACCTAAGTGATTGTGGCATCGTAGCAAGGATTGCAAGGGCAGTGGAGAACCAATTGCCATCAATGTCTTCGGCCAGAAAATCTACTTCGTCCTGTCGGAACAAGATGCCACCGCCGTGCTTAGGGAACCACCCCAGCTGACACATACGGAGCACTTGAAAAACCTTCTCATGGGCCTTGGCTGTTCGGAATCGGGAATCTCGGAGATGGATCACGATTCCGAACCCAAGGCCCCGCCGTTGGTTCTGGTCGCAGAGGAGCTTATGAGGAAACAGCTCCTTGAAAAGTCTTTAAGCCCGGAGATCCTCGCTCGGTCCTTGGAGGTCCTTGAGTCCCATATGCGATGGGATCGACTCGAAGCACCGACTCTTCTTCATAGCTCCGAAGATGGGCGGGAGCGAACGGTCTCGCTGTACAGGTGGGCGCAAACGGCGATCATCCACGCCGTCACGACGGCTTACTTTGGAAACGCCATCTGGGAGCTCTCGCCATACATCGTCGAGGACCTTGTGTGTTTGGAGAGCGACCTGTGGATCCTGTTATTCAAACTACCCCGACCATGCGGCAAGGAGGTCCGCGTGGCCAGAGCGAGGGTGCTGCGCTGCTTGGTGGACTACATGCGTCTGCCTCCCTCGAGCCAGCAGGATCAATCCTGGGCTGTCAGAAACTCCATCACGGAGATGCGACGCCGCGGACTGAGCGAGGATGATATGGCGTCGTATCTGCTGATGGTCCTGTGGGGGCAAGTTTCCCTCAACCATCTTGTTATCCTCTTTCCTCTTACAGAGCTAACCCCTCCTCAGCTCCAACGCAAACGTCTTCAAACTCCCCTTCTGGCTCCTCGCGCACATCTGCACCGACCAGACCCGTCTGCAAAGAGTCACCACCGAAGTTACCACCCTCTTCGCGCAGAGCACCGCCGCCAACGAACCGCTGGCCGCCCTCGCCCTGCGCCTCGAGCAGAACCCCCTCCTCTCCGCCCTCTACAACGAGACCCAGCGACTGACCATGAACTCCAGCTCCGCGCGCAGCGTCGAGAAGCCCCTCACCGTCAACGGCCGGACCTTCCAAGCCGGTGCGCACCTGCTCGTGCCCTACCGCCAGCTCGCCATGTCGCACCCCGTGCTCGGCCGGGACTGGGACCGCTTCCTGCCGGAGCGGTTCCTCGACCACCCGGGCCTGGCCCAGAGTAAGAGTTTCCTGCCGTTTGGCGCGGGGAAGCACAAGTGCGTAGGGCGGTATCTGAGCAAGCGACTGTCGCTGACGTTTGTTGCGCTGGTGGTGCATCGCTTCCACGTTGTGCGGGCGCTGGACGGCGTTCCGGCGGTAGGGTTCACCCCGGTCTCCTCGGGGCCCGGCGGGCCTGTGAAGGGCGGGGATGTGCGGGTCGTGATTGCGCCCAAAGAGGACGGGTTATCGCACGAGGAGAAATGATGATAAGCTTGTTTGTTGGTTGAGCATAGACAATTTCCACTGGTGCTATCTATTTTCGAAGATGCTTAGTGCGCATTGTTCGAGTGTACCATGGTATTGCGTGAGTCTACTATCATTCTTCCCGGTCCAGCGGGGAGGAGGTTGGGCCAGGAAAATAGCATAAGGTGGCTGAAGATAAGCGGGGCTCTCAACTGCCGGAGCAACAAGCACCGCAGAGAGCGGGACAGAACGGGTAATGTCCCCGCGAGAAGCCCTGTAGGACGATTGAAGAAATTAAAACTGGCATCTGAGGCCGAGATTCGCTGACTGGTTCGCTCGTGGCGAGGTGCAGGAATGCACCTCATGGTGATTAGAGGATGCCGCACTGAGGGGTTCTTCCTGCAGCCACGCTCTTGGCACGAGAGTCATTCGCTGGCCATGCAGCTGAGTACTGTATTGTATATTAAGCCTAAGCCTCACGACTCACCCCAAGCCTTGCATGTCAGCAAAACAGCCTGAATTTAGTCGGCTGGCGAAGTTTTTGGACCCCAACGGTCAGCCTCTACCCTCCATCAGGCCTCCTAGATTCTCTGGTGCACTGTGCAGTTTTATCGCAAGTTCCGGCCCACGATGGATTCGACAGAGGCTGACTTGCATGACGACCGCACGGTTCGTCGAGCTTGGTGTGCTTTTCGCCCGTGCTGATCTGGCTCGCCCCCCACCCTTCCTCAATCCTTCAGCTGTCACGACGATGTCTAATGAGAGGGAGATGGTCTTTAAAAATCCAAGAGCCCTTCCCTTCAGACCGTAAGGTCTGCTGCTCTGCTGAGCAACCCGTTCCAGTGCTCTGGCCATGGATTATTACAACACGCCAGCCGCCGCCCCGCCGCCAGGGGTGGTCCCCAACTTCGTCAACCCGCCATCCCAGCGGACGACGATCATCGTGCTGCAGTCGATTTTCCTGTTTCTGGCGCTACTGGCGGTGTCCGCCCGCGTCTGGGTGCGGACAAGTATCATCAAATTCTGGGGCGCCGAAGACAGTGAGTATCCCCTCAGTCTCTGCCCCACATGGCTAGATATGGGACTTTGCTAAGAACGACAAAACATGTAGCAACCTGCATCCTTGCGGCAGTAAGTCGATTTGACCGGATATCGCTTTCGCAATCGCCCAGTGCAGGATGCTAAGTCACACAGTGCGGCTCGATCGCGCACATGACGCTCTACACGCAGAGTGAGACTTCCCCACTGCCACCAAGTCATACTCCAACCGTAGCCCTAAGCTAAACAGCCCGTGCACGACAGCCCTACCCCTAGGCATCGGACGACACATGTGGGACGTGCGAGCCATCAACCTCATCGATCCCTCCTCGACCCGCGTACGTCTTCCCCCACCTCAGGAAAATAAAGAGAAAAGAAAAGCCCCCGAAAAATCTAATCAAAAACCCACAGGTCCTCGACGCAGGCGGCATCACCTTCCCATGGACGGTCTGCTTCGCCAAGATTTCGATTCTGTTGCTGTATAAGCGCGTGTTCCCGCTGCACCGCGAGATCGTCGCCGTCTGGATCGGCATCGTCGCCGACGCGGTGCTCTACACGTTCTGTATCGCCGTCGCCATCGGCAGCCTCGTGCAGTGCGCGGAGCTGTCGCAGCTGGAGGCCCCTTACTGCAAGTTCACCTCCGGGACGATGATCACGATCCAGTCGGTGATCAACGTGGTGACGGACTTCTACGTGCTACTGCTGCCCATCCCGCGGCTGCTGAAGCTGCAGGTCAGTCGTCGGCGGCGGATCGGGCTGCTGGTGACGTTTATGAGTGGGCTTGGGTGAGTGAGCCCCACATAGTCATGATGTTGAGTTTGAGCGCTGACTGAATGTTGGATGTACCGGACAGAGCCTGCGCGGCTAGTCTGGCGCGGCTGGTGAATTTCCAGCTGAATGATAGCTCGGATGTGTTTTGGACAACGGGGCGGAATGCTCAGTTTACGTATGGTTTCCCCCCATCTGGATCAGTGGATTTCGAAAAAGTGAAGAAGGGTGGAGAGCTAATTCCGGTGTCATGCAGGATCGTCGAGATGAACATCGCCATCATCGTCGCCTGCGCCACCTCCTTTCCCATGTGCTTCGCGCGCCTCCGCTCCCTCACCTCCTCCTTCTACAACTCGGCCGTCTCCCTGCTCCAGAGCGGCAGCCGGGAAACGCCCAAGGTCAGCGAGACGGGGGACGCCGCGGTGCGGAGCCACCTGTCCAGTAAACGGCGGCCGGGGACCCAGAATTGGGAACGGCTGAAGAATGGCAAGGGGGACGGGCGGATGGACTCGCAGGAGCTGGAGTTTTTGACGGATAATCCGGTTTAGCTGGTTGCTCATGCGGAGGAGTGGGAGTCAAGATACTGCTACGTTTAGAATATACTAGGTACCTACATAGTCTCTTATGGTCAACCGGGGTCTTGGGTGATAGAGGCGATTGATTGGGACAGTGATTAGGGCTGAGTAAGCACATGCTAACAAACTAACTAACTTCCACCGGGATTTAAGTGTAGTAAAGTTAAGTAAGATGAGGCAAATGACAAGGGTCGTATCGTAGCCCCCTGATAGGTGTGTCTCATGCAGGGATACAGTATACATCCCGCAGGTGGTGTACTTCCACTTATTCTTAATCCAGTTAAGCCGACAGCTGCTTAGCGTACAGCGTTTCTTTGTGAACGTGAACGTGCTCGTGCTCCTCCACAATAAAAACAAGCACTTTCCCCTTTCCCCCTCAGCTCCCTACTCCTAAATTCAAACCTTCCCCCACTCAACCTCCCATCCCCCTTTCTCCCTTAACCCTAACTTCAACATAAAAAAATGACCACCCTCAGCCCCGTCCTCGTCACCGGCGGCAATGGCTTCATCGCCTACCACATCATCGCCAAGATCCTGGAGAGTGAACCGGAGTGCACCATCCACTGCATCGACGTGAACACGCAGCGCAACCGCCACGCGGGGGCGAACGTGCACTACCACCAGGGCGACATGGCGAACGCGGCGGACGTGCAGCGGATCATGCAGCTGGCGCGCCCGGCGACCATCTTCCACACCGCCTCGCCCGAGTTCTCCGACGAGCCCGAGTCCGCCTACCGGGGCATCATCGTCGACGGCACGCACCACCTCCTCGACGCCGCCTGGGCGGTGGGCACCGTGCGCGCCCTCGTCAACACCTCGACCTCGGGCGTCATCAACGACAACCACACCGACCTGGTCGACGCCACCGAGGAGCTGCCCATCCTGCGCCCGCCCGTCCAGCAGCGCCTCTACTGCATCGCCAAAGCGGACGCCGAGGACGCGATCCAGGCCGCCAACCGCACTGCCGCCCCCACCTCCGCCGCCGGGACCGACGACCGCGGCATCCTGACGTGCGCCATCCGCCCCGCCCTCGCCTTCGGCGAACGCGACCACGGCACCCTCGGCAAGATGTACGCCGTCGCCCGCCAGGGCAAGCTGCGCTTCCAGATGGGCGACGGCCGCAACCTCTACGACTTCGTCTACGTCGGCAACCTCGCCGATGCCCATCTCCTCGCTGCCCGGGCACTGCTGGCCGCGTGGGGGAAGCCCGCCCCCGCTGAGAGAAGAGTCGACGGCGAGTGTTTCCACATCACCAATGAGGAGCCCTGGCTATTCTGGGATTTCCAGCGCGAGGTGTCGAGGTTGGTGGGCAGGCCGGTCAGGAAGGAGGATGTGGTCGTGATTCCGAAGTGGGTGGGGTTGACGATCGGGTTTGTGAATGAGTGGGTCGCTTGGGTGGTTTCGCGGGGGACCAAAAAGGCGAATATGACGAGGGAGGGGATTCGGTTTAGTACCTTGGTCAGGACGTTGAATGGGGGCAAGGCGAGGAGGGTGTTGGGGTATTCTCCCAGGATTGGGGTGCGGGAGGGGCTGGAGAGGAGTGTGAGGTGGTTTGTGGAGAATGAGGGCGGGGCGGTGGAGGGGGAGAAGGAGGATTAGGGGGGGGGCTTTCGAGATGTGGTCGGTGTCTTGGTAGGCGCTGCAGGCTTTGCAGATGATTAGATGCACCTTGGGGATTCTTGGCTTTGCATGATGTTTGCTGTTCGTGGATTCGACATAGTACTATGTCATACTGACAGTGAGGATGACGGGCGGGGTATGTGGCGATGATGAACTCGATGTGATTGTGTAGCTTACATAGCGGGATATGTGATACATGAAGGCTGTACTCCAGTCCAGAGCACTCCAGCATCTGACGAGCCTACGTGCTTGGCCATGCCATGAGCCATATAGAGTATCTGTGCATGCGCTTCGGGAAGGATCTACCACTCTGACCGGATTCCGCTCCACCCCTTGCATGTATGCACGTGGCCAGGACAAGGAATCTTTATGCTTCATGATTGCAGGAGCACAACCCTGTGAGTGCTCAAACCGTGCAACGTCATCACCATTCTCGTACCCCATATAAATCCTACCAGCCATGTCTTGAAAAGCACGTCTAGTACAAACAAGCCCAGCGCCCACGATCCAAGTGACATATCTATACTAATACTCTGCAACACTGAACACAACAATCATCATCCCCTACCACAAAAGCTCAACTCCGTCACAATCACCATGACTAAAGACTCAACCCAAACTACAAACAGGCACGCACCTACCCCCCCAACCCCCAACAACACCCACCCACTAACCAACCACCGCAGCACCCCGGAATCCCAATTCTGGGCCCTAAACAAGCATCCCAAGCAGGTGACATCCGCCGATATCACCGCCGTCTTCGACAAGCTCCAGCCCATCGCCCCCGAAAAGCTCATTGGCAGCCGATGGAGAGGCTATGCCTTCCACAGCGGCCACCCCGCCGAGAAGCTACTGATGGAGGACCTTAAATTCGCGGGGAAGGATTTTGTCTCCTTGAGTGAGGTGAACCTCATGGTGTTCGACGGGGAGGGAAATTGGGTCAAGTCGGAGGAGTGGGGCAATTCGAGGGTATGTGTTTTGGTTCCTGATCACAGGCGCGAGCGACTGTAGGTTTTTATCAGACGAGGGAAGCTGATGTCGAGGATAGCTGCGCGAAGTCAAGTTCCGAGAGGTGGTCTCGGCCGCCTTGATTTCTGACACCAAGCCTTGCATCGATTATTGGAGGGGTGTCTCGGATGATGTGGTGATGGTGGCGTTGGAGGACGATGGGAGCTTGACGCAGGGGGCGGGACCTTTGTATGGGTATATGATCAGGGTTGTGTTGGAGTAGGGGTGGGCCGTTTTGTGGAAATTGCTACTTTGTGTCTGTGATTTATTTTTTCTAGACCTAGCATATTGGAGTTGGATTGCTCACCTGATAGTACTATATGTTGAACTATAACATTGTACTTGATCTGGGTCGGGGACGATGTGTGGTTCTTCTGCTGATGCTATGTCCCAGAGTAATGTGGTTCTTACGTTCCTTGAGTAAGACTGAGATATGAGACATTGCCCCCCCTTTTTTTTTTCAAAAAAAAAAAAAAAAAAGAAAAAAAGAAAAAAAAAGAAAAAGAAAAGAAAACCGGAGGCATACAGATCTACCCCCGGGCATGCTTATCAGATTGCCCTAAACCCGAAGCAGATCGATATGAATTAAGCTCGGAGGGTCAGTTCGGCCCCGACTCGGGTCAGGGAGTTAGCGTCCGAATCGGGAAATCCCCGAGCCACTCCACCGACTCGACAATGTATACAAAAATTATATCTATTGTAGTATCTCAGACCTCTTCCTACCTTGTTATAGCATGAAACAATCCGATCTCTATCTATCTTGTGGTTTACACCCTAAGTCAGGTCTGCTGTCATCATGTCCGACGTTGAGAAGAATAGCATGTCCTCGGACAGCACTCCGAAGGAAGAGACGAGCCCTCCCAAGAACCCGACCTTCCCTGAAGGAGGCATAAAAGCGTGGCTAGCGGTTCTGTCATGCTGGTGTGTGATGTTCAACACATTCGGTTACATCAATGCCTTCGGGTATGCCCAGCACCCCCATGTCAACCCTGCTTCGGAGTTAACAGAGCCCCAGAATCTACGAAGCATACTACCAAAGCACATTCCTCAAGAACGAAAGCGCCTCCAACGTCGCCTGGATCGGCTCTCTACAAGCCTTCTTCATGTTCTCAGCAGGCCTCATCTCAGGTCCGTTGATGGATCGCTATGGTCCTAGAGTACGTCCGCACCCAACCCTAATCCCTCAACACAGCTAACACCCCTTTTTCAAACAGATTATCCTAATCCCATGCTCCCTCCTCTTCATCCTCTCGGTCATGCTCACCAGCCTCTGCACGGACTACTACCAATTCCTCCTGGCCCAAGGCATCCTTGGCGGCCTGATGAACGGCCTAACTTACACCCCGACCCTAACAGCAGTAAACCAATACTTCCTGCGACGCCGCCCGCTAGCCATGGGGATCGCCTCCTCGGGCTCCTCCTTCGCAGGCGTCGTCCTCCCCATCGCACTCAACCGCATGCTCCACGACTCCCCGCTCGGATTCGGCTGGACCGTCCGGATCATCGGCTTCCTCATGCTAGCGCTCAGCCTCGTAGCCTGCGCATGCGTCTCCTCACCCGCCCCGCCCCGCCGAACCGGGGCTCCCTTCCTCCAAGAAGCCTGGCACCACCCCGCCTACACCCTGCAAGTCCTCGGCCTGTTCCTGATTATGTGGGCCCTCTTCACCCCCTTCTTCTACGTCCCGGACTACGCACACTCCATCCTCAACCTGGACATCGACCTCTCCAATTACCTGGTCTCCATCATGAACGCCGGTTCCTTCGCCGGCCGCCTCCTCACGGGGGCCTTCGCCAACCGCCTCGGCCGGTTCAACGGCCTGGTCCTGGCGTCGGTCGTCTCCGGGGTGCTGATCCTCTGCTGGCTGGCCGTGGATTCCCGGGGGAGCATGATTGTTTTCGCCCTGCTGTTCGGGTTCTTTTCGGGGTCGGTGATCGGGCTGTTCACGGCGACGCTGGCCATGACGGCCCCGCGGCCGAATGTGATTGGCTCGTATCTGGGGATGGCGTTGGGGGTGCTGAGTCTGGCGTGTTTGACGGGCACGCCGATCACGGGCGCCATGATCAATCGGTTTGGCGGCTATGAGGCCGCTATTATCTTTGCGGGCGTGTGTGCGTTGGTCGGGGCTGGGGTTGTTGCTGTTGCGAGGGTCAGGTTTGCCGGGTGGGTGGGGGTTGCTTAGGTTGGGAGGTGTAATATGTTGTGGAAAAGGTGTATAATGTGGATTGTATATGGTGAAAAATGTGCTTGACTAGAGATTGTGTTGGTGTTATGGATTGAGCGCCTCTCTCTCTCTCTCTCTCTTAAGACTGGATCAAGGTCTTGCCAAATGGAAGACGGGATGACTATGACACTTTACCACCCACATCTGCAGATCAAGATGCACTGCTTTCTGTAGACGGGGAATGCGGCACCTGGCACCAGACTACAGCAGCTTGATACAGAAAGAGCGCTCATGGTCTTGCTTGTTCTGTTCCAATTCCAGACATACAATTGCTGATGAACCTGGAAAGAATGCAACAATTCAACTCGGGGAAGGAAGAGCTGAGGGTTAACAAAGCCCACCTCTTCGCCCTCTTGACCATTTTCACTCTCTGCACCTCTGCACACTTCTCTAGTCTATTGCATCGCTATCATTCCAGCTACTGCCCCCACATTCTGTCGCTGTCATCGACAGCTTTCTCCCATACTACCGTCACTCATTCTACCCAACATTTCCAGACCGAACTTCCTCACTTACCGCTCAGCGCCCTGTATTCAGCCTTGACCCGATATTTACCAGACTTACCCATCCAAGCAAAATGCAGAGGCGTAACAATTCCATCAGACGCAACAGCTCCATCACTGTCGGCTCCAGCACAACCGGCAACACGACCCCCATCAAGGTAGACCATGCTACCTCCACCGCAGACGATCGCAAGAACGAGCCATGGAAGAGATACGGTCTTCTCGTGCAAGGCTTCTGCGAGCTGGCCGCGGCCGAGAAGGAAGAGTTCCAAGAACTGGTGACAAAGGACCGCAAGATCCATTCGGTCGACAAGCTCACCGACTGGCACGAATACTACCTGGAAATGCTAGAGGTCAGCAGTACCGACGACGAACCTAGTTTTTACCGTGCGAGCGCAGGGGCAGAGATACCCCCTGTGGTGCGGGACTTGCTCAATGCTCCGTCCGCTTTCTCCGGCTTCGACTACGCAAACTCGGACTGGGAGCTCTCGCGTTCAGTGTACGCTGCAGGGCTCTTCACAGCCTCGATCAAAGGGCCCCTCACGGCGAGCCCGTCCGCGTACCCCACCGTCGTCGCCATGGTTCATTGCATTGTGAATGAGATAAATCGTGAAGACGCAGCCGTCACTGGGACTGCAAACGCCAACGCCAACGCAGCGGCCACAAATCCAGAGCCCGCAACAGCAGGGCCCAGCAGGCAAAATGACGGTCAGCCACCCCCGCCGTTACGGCCACCCCCACCGCTACGGCCACCACCGCCCACGCCACCACGCCCGGCTTCTCGCTCTCGCCTCCGCGTGGCACCCAACCACCACCCCAAAATCACCCACTATCGGCACACTCACAACCGCCTGGACGTTTACGAGGCCCGGTGTGATCTGGCTGTGCTGAGTGGCCTGGAGCCACACGTGCACTGCGGCATTCTAGGGCGCGGGCGTGCATGGGAACAAAACCGGGACGGTGCCCTGGAGGTGATGCAGATCTTTTTGGCCCTCTGCCAGGAAGACGAGCGACGCCGTACGGGCCGCAGGCGGCCCTTCCATGGTATCATCACGAGTGGGCTCAGCGTGTGTCTCTGCGAGATGACCGAGCAGCGCGAGTTTCGCGACACCGCATTCCGGGATATACTGCCCGCACGGCACCCCCAGGACGAAGGACGCGACGGGCACGGCGGCGTTCCATTCGCCACCACACGGCTTTACCACAACATCAAGCGCATGCTGAGTATGACGGAACGGTATCCAGATCCTCCAGAGGACACTGGTCGGGGACGGCGGCGCACGCGGCTCAGATCGAACGCCATGTCGAAAGGGAAAGAGCGTGCTACTACTGACGGTGCTTGAAGCTGGTGAAGTAGGGGTAGGATTAATGTTTGTCTCGGTCGTTCTTGTGTCGTTTATCACTGTAGGCTATTATTCTTCCTGAGCCAGGGCTCTTAGTGTAGCTTTGGAAAAACATGCTCAAGGTTCTCTCTATAGGAATGAAGGATTTACTGTTTCACGACCACAAGTCTTGGAGAAGAAATAATATAGAGTCAGCCCGCCCATTGCAGCAAGATATGAAGATGCTTATTGAAGAAGCCGAGAACTCAGCTGATTGGCCATATACACCTGAATACCCTCCATAATCAAGAATTAAGGCATGTCTCTCGCAAAGATATGAAATTGCGGCTCCGCGGTCGTTCATGGTCCTCATGTATATGCTGTATGGTGTGCACCATATCCGTGACTCAATGGGCTGGTTGTTCTCAGTTTCGACAGCATCTTCTGCACTGAACAGGTGTCCATTGCCCAAAGGCCTATCATGGATTTCAATGTTCGTCGCTTCCCTCGTTGCCTCCGGCCATTATGTTCATCACATCGGTATCGCATGCTCCAAGCACAGGACTGATATCCCCTTGCCATACGCACAGTTGAGTTCTGTCTAAAATTGTCTCTATTCAATCTCTCTTGGTTCTTCTTTTGCTCTTTTTTTTTCTCTAAGATGCCTCGGCTTTGCGCCATACACTACACCTGGAAGCCTCCTCAAAAAGCTTCAGTCATACACACTCGAGACGCACTTCTGGGAGAAAAAAAGACTGTGACCAAAGACGAAACGAAGCTCAACCCACCGAAGCCCCCGACTCAAGCCAGCCCTAACCCCACGATCATACCACCCACCACCCACCACCCCCCCACGCAATTCCGAGCACCTCAGCAAATACCACCCCGCGATCCTTCCACGTCCAGTCCATCCGAACCGTTCAATCAAACACGCAACCCCCGGGAACCAAATCGCATACGATGATACGAGTAAAAGTACGTCTCCACTCCCGGAGAACTAGATCCGATCTCCGATCCCCGACCCCGAATCCACCGCATGATTGCATCGCATCGCATCGCATCGCGGGAGGACATCACATGATCCGGGGATGGATAAGCGAGCTGCGGCGACGGCGGCCTAAGGCTCCCTTCCCGCGGCAACCGGACTTTAGCTCGGAGGGCTGGGCTGGGCCGGAA